CCCATACCTATTCAATTTGTACACTGAGCAAACAGATCCATATTGGAGGAAGATTCATCAATAATTTGCATTATGCAGATGATACAACCTTGTTTGCTGAAAATGAAGAGGATTTGAAGTACTTGTTGCAAAAGATCAAAGACTAGTCTTTAATATAGACTGCGTTTGAACATCAAGAGACACAAATCTTCACCACTGCCTGATAGCAACATGATGATAGATGGAAAAAAGAAGTTGTCAGTGATTTCATCTTACTTGAATCCACAATCTACACCCTTGATACCAGCAGTCAAGAGATCAGGAGATGTAGTGCACTGGAGAACTCCATTTTCAGGGGCCTCTCCGACTTACTGAGGAGCAATGTCTGAATACTAAGTAGCACCTGATTCAGGGCATGGTCTTTTCGATCACTGAACATAAGAACACTGAATATCCCTTGGACTGCCAAAAAACCAAACAGGTATGTCTTGGAGAAAGTACAACTGGAGTACTCTTTGGAGACAAGGATGATAAAGCTCATTTCACATATTTTGGGCATGTGGGAGATGTGGGAGAGTATATTCCTTGGAAAGGGACATCACGCTTGGAAAAGTGGAAGATGAGCGAAAGAAAGGAAGATCCTTCATGAGATGGATCAACACAATGACTGAGAAAACGAACTCCAGTGTGTGAGAGATACTGAGGATGGCACAGGATAGGACAGGGTTCAGGCTGGACAGTTGTTCACAGGGTTGATGAGTTGTGCTCGATTGAACAGCACCTAAGTCCAACCAACAGGCTAAAGCCCTAAGAATGGGATTGCTGGGATGAGATCTAAGAGTAGCTCTGTTCTCGTGTTTTTCACAGTAGTTGCACCATTTTACAGTCCCACCAGCCATAGACAAGGGTCTCAATCTTTCCACATCCTCACTAACATTTGTTATCGGTTTATCAGTGTCATAGTCACTGAGATGGTTTCTCCTTATCGCTCTGATTTGCAACCAATGGCCAATGACTGATGATGAGCATTCCCCACCCCTCGTGTTTATGGTTGGTTGGTTGGATGTTATCTTGGGTGAAGATTCTGCTTATGTTCTTTGCCATTTTATTCATTCACCTTTTTGTTGAAGCTTTCTATAAATTTTGGAGATTAGAACTAAATCCGATAGAAGGCTTACAGACATTTCCCCTCCCCTCAGCCTGTACTTGATGAGCCTAAAGTTTTAATTGCAAGGTTCTATCTATTTTGTCTACTATCCGTGCATTTGTTGATCCCATAGTTTACCAGGAATTTTAGTTTTAGGTTCAACATTTAGGTTTTAGGTCCATCTTCAGTTAATTTTTGTGTGCAGTATAAAACATGAGTCTTATTTCATCTTTATGCAAATAGCTTTCAAATTGTGCTAGTACCACTTGTCAAAAGACTATTTCCCCTCCTTTGAATGCCCTCTGTCTTCTTGTAAAAAATCAGTTAACCATAGGTGGCTGGGCATAATTTCATATTTTTGGTCAAAATGTATACAGCTAAAATGGTTCCCATTCAAGAATTTCTCTATTACTGATAATGGTTACATATTTTCCCCTCTTTCTATTGTACAAGGTTTGTTCTTACACAAGTAGAATAATTTACCACCACCACTAATCTGTCAACACTCCGTTTCTATTAATAAATGGGTGCGTATCAATGATCTAATTTTCAGAGAATCGCTTTGGTTTTTCCTCCCGGCCCTTACACAGTCCAGTGTCTGTTTCAACTGTATTCTTGCCCCATGTAGCTATGGTTTGATTGTTGGTCTTAACAGGGTTTTCAAGCAATGCTTGTTGCTTTTCTACCCTGAGTTTGAAAAAGTTCAAACAAACAAGTGCCTTATGTTAGTACTTCAGGTGAGAACAGGTGAACTTGTCTTGGACAGGTTAGAACAGATGAACACAATATTTGCAAAGGTCTGCATGGTCCCCTACAGAACCCGCCTCCCCCTGGGTTGCAAAATGCTGCTTTCAAGACTGAATGAGGGGGAAAAACAACCCCCCAAAACAAAAAACTGAATGAGGAAGGGGTGAAGCATAGGCAAGCAAGAGAGTTGTGAAACTTTCCTCCTGTTTCTAAGCTGCCTTTTTCTTGAATCAGCATTTACTGACTTCCGTTTATTGTACTTTTGAGTTCCAGAATTTTCCAGAGCTCTGACAGCTTCTGTTTGTTTTTCAGTGTTTCTGTTGGGGAACAGGAATGTGGAACTGCCTACTCAGTTATCTTACTGACTCATTTTCAGAAATTTCTAAACTAACCTATTTTGACTATTTCCTTCTCTTCTCAGTCAACAAATTACAAACAGCAGTGGTGATCCCTGAAAGAGACCTCAAGACCCCATCGACATCAGCAGAGTGGGTTACACCTCAGCAGCCTGCAGCATCTCTACTCCAAAAGACATCTGCTGCTGATCCATTCTAGAAGAGGAGGCTAGACAGAAATAAAATTCTTTCCTCGAAAGAATCAAGAGACTGGCCAGCTTGGAAGGCTGTGATGTAAAGGCAAGAAAAGCCATGAGATGCACAGGGAAAAGTGGGTGGAGTGTAGTTCTTTACTTCTCCAGGCAAAGCCACCAGCAGATGGGCCCTACAAGTCTAAAACTACTGTTATAAGGTGCCATTGAGTACAATTCATAGCGACCCTATGAACAGGTCTGAGCTCCGTCCTATCCTGTGCCATCCTCACAATCTGATACACTTGAGCCCTGTGCAGCAGTCACTGTGTCAATCTACCTAGGTAAGCACCTTCCTCTTTCACTGTCCCTCCACCTTTCCAAGCATGATGGCCCTCTCTCCAAGGAACAGCCTCTCCTAGCAACATGCCCAGCTTATGAAATGAAGCTTTATTGCTGTAGCTACCAATAGGGGCAACTCCATTACTGACTCCTATTTAGCAATGACAGATCTGCTGGGGACACAGGGTTTATGACTGTCATTAGAGTGATATTCTTTCACCTCATCCCATGGTTACTGAGATACAGGCATGGAAAGGAGGTGGTGAGTCACTGCAGAATAGGCCTACTTAGTGAAGCAGCAGATGGAGGTGGCAGGGAAGGGGCTAACCCGAATCCAATGTCTGGTCCACAGCAGGAATTCAGCTATTGAAAGGATGATGATGGGGGTGTGTGTGTGTGTAGAACAAACTCTCAGCTCGACTAGCCTTAGGCAGAGGAAACCTGACCATGCACAGAGGAAGGAGAGTTGTCTACTAAAACACACAGGCCTCAGCTCTTCTCTTTGGAAAGACCAGGACGTCTTTTTTTGGAGATCAAGAGATTCTAACGGGAAAAGCCATAGGTAACCTTATCAGTCCTAGGTGGAAGAGAGTGCAGGGCTGGGAAGACCTCGGGCATCAGGCTCTGTACAGAAACGTACAAACTCTAGTAAGTCTTCTTCCACAATCACTAGATAAAAGCTACCTTAATTATTCCAATGGCCACCAGCTTTGATGGTCACAAATGGTCATTTAAGTGTATCCTGGACAACATCAACTTTGGGCCCAACCAAAGAAGTCCCACCACAGTGCAATCCAGGAATGTGTCCTGAGGGGAGCGTCTCAGGACAGAACAGGAATGTTCTCAAGAGGGGCTCAGAAGTCTCAGGAGGAGACCTCGACACCCGATGTTCAATCCAATCTGGGTAGTAAGTGCCTATCAGTCCTTCCTCCACACAGGAGACTTTTTGCAGATACTGTTTGACATAGTTTATTGAATACATTCATTCTTTACATTTGGTGACGGAGGCCCAGCAGAAGCTGCAGCCTGGCCTCGCTTGAGTGTGTTGCTCTTGCTGACATTTGCTTTACCCAGCTACCCGGTGTGAATGAAAGCTTGGAGAAGGCACACACTCCCTCCTTTCTCTCTCCCTCAGCCAGGTAGTTACCAGGCCCTGCACTCCCCTTTCCATCCATCCTACCTCACATTCTGCTTTCACCAGCTCCCATGCCTCCTGTCCCCTGGCTGATCTACAGTCACCCTTTTAGCAAACATCTTTGCTCAGTTTAAGAACAGAAACCACCTTGTTGTGGAGCCCTGTGGGCACGTGGGGGTTATCTGGTGCTTCGTGCCAGCAAAGTACCATGAAAAAATAGGATCTAGATCTCTTCCTGCCAATGTGCTGCCAGGAGGTGAGCAGAGGCTGCTGGGAACAGAGAATGGGCCCTTTGCTATAAGCTAGGGAAGGAGCTTTGGCTGGATACTGAGAACATCTTGATAAACTCTCAGGAGTTGAGTAGCTGGGCCCTCTGTTTCATCTGCTTATGTCCACTCAGCTCACCAATAGCCAGAAACTCTTAAAATGACTCTTGGTTTTCTTTGTGCCTCTCTTTCCTCCTACTTTGACTCCTATTTTGTAAAGAAGACTATCTTCTCTCTAGTGAGAAGGCACTTTCTTTCTTCTCTGGAGAGCACAGCTCTGTCTTTCCAGGAACCCGGGACAGTTACTAACCAGGAAGAACAGAGGGTCAAAGGACTTGGCCAGTCTTGCTGTTAGATGGGGAGGCGGACAAATTACTAGCGGTGAGACAGTTCTCTATCAAGTTGTCACAGGATCAAAGCAGGGTGGGGCAGAACTCCTATGAACATCAAAAAGGCCCTGGAGGCAGTGGTGGATGCCCTCCATTCTCTTATCACTGAGTAGAGAAGTTGCAGAGGGTCAAAGGAAAGCCTGAGAAAAATCTCTGCTTTCTTCATGTTTAGGCAGGAGGGGAGCCAGCTGTGCGGAGCTCAGAGCAAAGTGCTTAGCACAGAGAGGGCAGGTCCTACTCCAAGAACTTGAAGGCAACCAAGGACAGAATCAGATTCCAGTCCCTGGGGGAATTTATTCCTGTGCAAAAATCAGACGATCTGACTGCATTTGAATGGAAGCTGGGGGAGAGAGGAGGACAAAGCAGAGTTCTTCCTTTGACAGTCATTTCAGTCCATCCTCAGAGACCACAGAGTTGTGGGAGATACAGACTAGTCTTGCAGGTGCCCGGAGTACAGGCAGTGGACAGGTCACGGTGGGTGAGGGGTCAGCAGGTAGGGAAGCGACAAGTTTCCGCGGCAGTCCACATACTCATAGCTCTGGAAAACGAGCTGCTCTGAATGGCTCAGGTAGGAACAGGTCAGCGTGCCCCTGCAAAAGGAGGAACAGGTTTGTGCACCTCTGCAGGGGGAGGAGCCTTTGATACCCAGCTGTGCTGTCCTGTCAGGCAGGGTCAACTCTCAACACCTCCCCACTTCTTTCTGCTCTTTCCTCTACCAGACATAGTATCTGGGACCACCACTCCACCTGTGTCCCAGCCGCTTGCAGACAACTCTGTGGCTCTCATCACCCCCAAAATGAGACCTAAAGAAGGGACTGGGCTTGGGATTCCCAAAAGCCAACAAAAATTCCAGGAGAGAGCTCCGATGACTCCCAGAGGCAATTGAAGAGGGACAGAACTGGGTGGGGAAGACAGAGCAGGGCCCCAAGACCTACTTACTGGATATGTAAAAGCACATGATGGACTTTGATTTTTAGCCAGGTACAGATTTTGCTGAGGGAGAGAGAAAGACTGAACTTGGGACCATGTTCCACCACAGAGTAGCTTGTCAGAGAGTTAAGAGACCCAGCCCTTCTCCCCTCCCAGCTCCCTTCCATCAGGAGCCTGCAAAGCTGGTGGCCTCCAGCCACTCCCCTTTTCATTTGCCTAAGGTAACATCAGGGAGTGCTACAACTCCAAAGGCAGCTGAATCTACCAGCTGCTCATGGGAGAAAGATGGGCAATCTCCTCCCATGGGATTAACTGCCTCTGAAAACCCACCGGAGGGTCAGCTGTGGATTGGTTCTGACTAGATGGCATACAACAACAAAAACAAGGTCACTGCCCCACACTTGGCAGAAAGCAAGACCCTTATGTTCTTCAGTCAGGCTGAAGAACTCAAAGTCATAGTAAATTGTAAGGATTAAATTTCATTCCTGTTTTTTATTCCAAATGAGGTCTCCAAATAGGTAGAAGCTAGAGACTCTGAACCCTTGCACACTGCAGTTCTGGCCACAAAAGGGCAGGCCAAATACTGGCTGCTGAGTTTGCAACGCAGGAAAGAGGCCCAAAGGAGGAGAAAGTAAGGAATACTCACTATGTATTTTCATCCCCTATCCTGTTGGCCACTGCGTAAAATATCTGTCAATCAAACGGACACAGGGGTCAGCACCAATACAGCTGATTCCCTCCCACACCACACAGACTCCCCTCTGTCCCCCCACTGGAGGGCAGGCTGTCCAAGGAGAGGGGTGTCACCTGTTCACTGGCCAAAGGGCCAATGGGCAGGAAGAGGCTTTCGGACACCTGCCCCACAATGAAGGAGAGGTGCAGAACTTCGATGGTCAGCTGTGTCACGGTGATGGGGTAGTAGTTGGGATTGGAAATGTTCAAGACATTCTGGAAGACAAGGAAAGAGAGGGATGAGGATGGGGCCATATCTGAGGGGAAAGCCATTAGTGGTAGACATATGGCAACCTGAACCATCAGCCTGACTGAACCCCATTCCCTGTGATGAGTCTCAGATGTGAAGGACCAGAAAGCCCCTTAGAGGGATTCTTAGGAATAAGGGGCCATCTTTATTTATTTATTTTTTTAATTGTCATTATTTTTACGTGTACCGTCAAATCAGATCTGACTGGTACAGGAGGAGATTGCCCCCTCCTTCTCCAACAGAGCATCTGGTGGATTTGAACCGCATACCTCTGGGATTGCAGTGCAGCGTCTTGCCACTAGGCCACCAGAGCTCCCTGGGGCCATCTTTAAACTCCAGAGTTTCAGATACTCTAGCCCTTCTGTGCATCCTAGGATTTATCTGGTCCCCATATGACCCCTCACTGTATAGTCTCAATACTACACATTCCTCGCAGGGGCTCCTGCTGCTCCTGCTTTTTCCCAGGCTCCCAACACCTTCGGGGTCCCGTCATGTCCTTCCTGGCTCCCCATGGCCAGGGTGGCAATGCTAAGGCAAAAGCTACACAGGTTGCTAGGAAGGAGACCTGAGCCCAGAGAATCCCTCACCGTTATGTTGAGATGGACATCAGCCTTGTCAAAGGCTACAGTGGAGGAGTTGAGACCCACAGGAAGCACTGAAACAGACCGGGGAAACAGGAAGAAGACGGCTAGGGCAGAGGTCACCAGGCAGATAAGCACTGCTAGGAACACGAAGAGCTTCCTGTGGGAGAGTGAGATCTGTGAACATCAATGAAACCTGAGAGAGGTGGGGTTCCAACACAAGGCTCTTCCTCACTTTCCTCCCTACAACTGCACTTTTAACTCCCAGATGTGAGAGAGGGGCCCAGGCTTCCAGTGTGGGCAGGAAGACAGGAGAAAGGGGCAAACAGCTGGGCTTCCGTTCCCAGCTCTCTGCAAATATGGCCAGATAAAGTATGGTAAACGCTATCAATCCCCTCAAACGATTACATTTATGCTAAGGTAGCTAGGTTCTTATTAGATATTTCTCTGTCTCTTTAAGGAATAAGGACTGATCTCCCTGTTGTATTCAGCCATTCTTGCAGAACTAGATACACATCAAGCAAGTGACATTATTTTCTCTTAAACTTTAAAGGATTGAGTATTGTTAGCATTTTCTAGCAACTTACGTAATTCTTAGTTACATAAGGGGGTTGTTTGAGTAGGGGTACAACTTCTTTAGTTGCTTACCCCCAGTTTTAGTGGAAAACATCAGGTCTGTCACCTCCAGAACTTAGCAGCTTTGCTTCCCTTGGTCAGTAAACTTCCTGTCCTAGTAAACTAAAACTAATGTCTTCTAGCTTCTCGATGGTCACTGTTTTTGTCTTAGAACCTGGAGGGACTTCTCCTCTGGGGAACAACTCCAAAACTCCAAACTGTAATTATCCTCTATGTTGTAAATCCTAACCTCTCTGATGTTTATGAGGCAGAATTATTAGAGCCACACAGTGAAAAACCAAGATATAGAGAGCTCTCAGAGGACCACCTGGCAGGCAGGTGAGGAACTTCCCCCAGAACCGACAGACAAAAAACCTTTCCCTAGAGCCAACTGCATTTGGATTCTTGGTCTCCTAAATAACTGAAAATATATTTTAATCAACCCAGGGGCCTCTCAGAAGAAAGGTCTGGTGATCAACATTCAAAAAACCAAACCTCTAGAACCCTGTGAAGTGTAGTTCTACTCTGACACACAAGGAGCTACATGAGTCAGAACTGACCTGATGGCAGCCAACAAAGAGCTAACACCTCCTTGTTAACGAATGTCTTCTCTTTTCACGGACCTGGAATCAGAACCAACTCATAGCTGATCCTCCAGTAGGTTTTAATTTACAGGCTGTAAATTGCATGGGAGGATATTGCTGTCTTTCTCCTGGGGACCACAGATGGATTCAGTTGCCAGAGAGGCACCACCTGGGTGCGGCCCTTAACAGTTTGATTCTAGGACAGTGGCTGCTTCTTCCAAAGGGCTGGGTGGGGGCCTTCCCTTAAGCTGAAGCTGAGGACTGGGGTTGGGGGGTGGGGACATTGCAAGGATTCATGGCAAATGGGGCCAAATAAAACTCAGAGTCCTAGGCAGCCCCCAACCTCCCAAGGTCCAGGGCTACAAGTGAACCTCTGACGTGTCCTAACACAGGGAGCAGCTGGTTTCCCATTCCTACTGTGGAGAACAAGCAGGCCTCAACTGCTATAGTAAGGCAAGTTTTTTTGAAAAACCACTTCCCAAGAGCAACTGTAGCCAGGGTTGTCCCCACCCTCTCAGTAAGACATGCAAAGCCAAGAGGTCCTCTGTATGTATCAGAGGGGAGCAGCGATGCTCAAGGAAGGATAGACATCAAGTTGTGGAAGGCAGTGTCTGCGTTTCTGAAACCAGTAGTAGTCTTAGAAACAGTAACTAGTACACTGCAGTGAGGCTCAGGTTTTCTGAGGGACAACCAATGAAGAAAAGCTGGAGCAGTAAAATAAGAAAGACTCTGACATACTTTGGACATGTTGCCAGGAGGGATGGGTCCTTGGAGAGGGACATCATGCTTGGGAGGGTGGAGGGACAGCGCAGGAGGGGAAGACCCTCTATGAGATGGATTGATTCGGTGACTGGGATAATCGGGATGGGTGTGTCAGAGGCAGTGCGGTTGGCGCAGGATAGAGCAGGGTTTAGGGCTGTTGTGCATAGGATCGCTATGAGTCGAAAACGACTCAATGGCACATAACAACAACAACAACAAGATGACCAACCCCCTGGCAGCCTATGAGGTGACGCAGCAGGGGAAGGCCTTACGTGTGTCTTGGTTTCAGTCTCTGGTCTCCATAGGGGATGAGGGCCACCAACTGCTTCTCCAACTCTGTAGAGAGAAGAGGAAGGAGGGGCAAGACCAAGAAGCCGTAAAACCTTGCCCTTGAGAAAGATCCATCACCCTCACAGAGCAGTACCAGAGAGGACAGGGAGTTCTGGGTTGCACAGACACTTAACAGGCAGATTAGCTTGTCATTTCTAGAATGGAAGTGAGATTTTTCACAAGCAGGTCAGGAAACTTTGAAAGTCTCCAGTGAGTTTAGAGATGCCTAGTTTTGGGGAGGTAATTTTTAACTTTCTGAATTCCAAGGCATACAACTTTATTCTGGCAGCTGGAAAAACCCAGCCAGGACTATAACCATGGCAGGAGGGTTTCTTCGCAGCAAGCCTTGGGGTAGTCAGCCTCACAAAGTGGCTGAGAGGTAGCAGTGGACCCAACTCCATTCAAGATCTATTGGGGGAGTGAGGGGTCTTGGCCTTGGGTCAAGCTCAGTTCTTCCCAGATTTCAAGCTATTTGAGAACCTTGACCTACTCACCTTGGGGGATCTCCCCGCTGCCCTGGCAGGTGGGACAAGGCACAAAGCCACCACCACAGGCCCTGTCACAAGTCACATAGGAACTAAAGGACTTGATGGTAGCAGTGCTGGAATAGCTGGTGACTCTGTTGTTAATGGCTGCATCCTGGGACAGGATTGGCTTGCTCTCGTCATCCTGGCATCCAACTTGGGACAAGATCTCACCCATTCTCCGGGAGGATTTTCACTAATGAGACAAGAACAAAGTTCGGTGTTCAGCATGTGTTAGCACTGACACAGAACAGAACTCTCAAGTTCTCAAGGGCTGACAGAGCCCCACTCCAGGGCTCAAGCAAGGGCAAGCCTAAGGAAGACAGAGAATGGAAAACAGGACTCTGGACGGAAAGCACACTGTGCTTCTGTTCCTTTCCTCATTGCACTAGAGCGTAAATCTAATTAGCCTACAGCAGGGAAAAGCAAAGCAGAACTGGCTTTACCCTGAGGGACTTCCCTAAGTGAACGCAGGCTTTTTTCTTTTCTCCTGAGTTGTGTCACTCACGTCAGGAAGTTAATTGGGGGGGGGGGCCGCTGGGCTGGGGTAGCCTCGACAGTCCCTTCTTGGAGCCTCTTAAAATCTTTTGAGAGAAGCCGAAGATATTCCAGGCCAGTTCCATTCAAGGGTCTGGACAGGTGCTGGTTTACTAGCAAAGAAAGAGCCCTTCGAAACAAGGATAAAGATGAGATAGGTCGCAGGTGTGGTTGTGAACCCTTCCCCACTGCTCCGTGACAGCTGCGTAGGAAAGCTGTGGCTCACAGCAATGCTGAGATGAGGTCTGCCCTTCGCTATGCAAGGTCAAGATTAAAACTGGACTCTTCGCGAAAGGTTCAGGAGTGGCCTGATGAAGCACAACAGGCCACATTCAAATCTGGCGCCTTACCTGGTTCAGGTGTTGAATGCTGGAGGCAGGCCCCTCTCGGATGCAAGTAGGCAAGGTTTAGGAATGTCTTCGCGCAGGGTCTCCGGAGCAGGGAGGCCCAGGGGCTGCCCCCTCTGCAGGCTCCGGGCGGAGCGAAGCGCTGCCCTGCAGGGAGCGGGGAGGAGGGAGCAGGCACCTTGGTCTCAGAGATGGTCAGATCTGTTTCCTGAGCTTCTCCGGTTCCGGTCGGAGAGGCAGCGAGGCAGAAAGGCCGGAACTTGATTGAGATTTCAAGTCCCACGAGAACCCCGAGAGACGGTTAGTCGAGCTTGGGATCCACGAGGCAGTGCTGGGTTAAGGGGAGTCACAGGGGCCCCTGGGCCCCGTTCCCTTCAAGGAAAAGCAGCGACCGAGGGTCCCAGCAGCGTCTGGACGAAGGGCTACAGGGGAATCCGCAGGGCAAGTGGCGCCCCCCCCCCACGTCCCGCCCTTGCCCTCCGCCGGCCCCGCCCCACGCAGAGCCGCCCGCCCGCCGGCCCCGCCCCACGCAGAGCCGCCCGCCCGCCGGCCCCGCCCCACGCAGAGCCGCCCGCCCGCCGGCCCGCCCTCCTCGACAGTCCAGGCACCTACACCGGGGCGGGTGGGCCTTCTACCCGAGCCCCATCCGAACCTTTTAAATAATCAACAACTTGGAGGACTTGCGGTCTGAATCCTGGTTTTATTGAATAACATTCAACAACAATTATAATGTAAATAAACATTATGGCTAATGATTAATTAAAATCACCATTCATTATAAATACCAACTGGGTTAAATAATAATACTATTTTAACTATTCTTCCCATTTGGAGCTGGGGGTCAGTTTCTTGGCCCCCACCCCCCAACAGTCATTTTCATGAATAAATCTGTAGCGGTTTTGGTTACCCCTTCTCTTTCATTAACTGCACTCCTTTCTAAACAGTGAGGGCCAGGCCTCTAAGAAGCCAAGCTTTCCCTTTCAACCTAGAAGAACCATCTTCAGTGAGCTTGCCTGCTAAAGTTTTGCAAAATACGAGCTTCTTCCGGTTGTTCTAGGATCTCTAGGTAAACATCACATCAGACATTCAGGAAGTCATGGTACACACTCACTTGCTCATACCCATAGCTTAACTTTGCTGAGATTAACATAGGAGCTGGCCTTTTATTCATGTGTCTAACCTCCTCCTCGATACTGTAAAATAAGATTTGCTCTAACATTAAAAAAAAAAATTAAAAAAGTAATTGTTAACTTTCCCCTTTTAAAGTTAACAGAAGGGTTCTTTTGTTCCCCTACAGGATTAGCCATGTACCTCACATTATCTAATAATTTTTTCCCCCTATAAAGAAAGAAAAAGGTATTCAAAATTACAACAGACGCAACTCAAGGTGTTAATTATTAGCACACTCCTCCCTCCCTCCCTTCACAGAAATGCAGAGGCCTAGAAGGTGGAAATTCTTTAAATTTATCCAATGGTCTTCAGAAAGCAAGGGCATCCATTACTGAATCTTGCTGGGAAATGATTTTCCCCTTGAGAAAGTAAGAGTAGCAATATTTTTGTCATGCTTTGGGTATCATCTCACTCCATATAGCTAAGAGGCTTGGGGTAGGGCTAAGGAAATTTTAAGATAATTCCTGAAAACAATTGATTGCCTTTCCTCCAGTGTTCATTTCAACACTTGACAAATGATATCCTCATAAAAACATCCACATTAACTAAACAAAAAGACTCAACATGAATACAAGTAAAAAGAAAACTGATTTTACAGGAGGTTCGAATTATACTCCATAGTACATTAAAACGGAGGAAGAAGTTTTATGTAAATAAATTTTAAAATGGTCTGCCTACAACTTATCCAGTGTCTAAAGTGAAAATTTAAGTCTGGTCTTTGAGTGGCTCCAAAAAATACTGTATTGCAAGTACTGTCTTGACAGTTCAGTGATGGGCTATATAAATATTCATCAGATTTAAAAACAAGGTCTTCAACCCTATAACCCCAATAACAGAATAAAGATCATCTCTGAGCAGCAGGCAGTTATTTAATACGAGGAGAATCTTCAATAGCGGTGGCTGTACCAGTCATTGGTGTTGACCTGAAGGAGGTCTGTCACCACCTGCAGGATGTTGGAATTGTGCTTCTTCAGTAGCCGTAGGTTCAGCTGCCGGTCACAGAAGCCCATTTCAAAGAGGTGGGCCATCAACGCAGCTGTCTGGTCTTCGGAGACTACTGGCTGTGTACAGACAAAAAAACCAGAATCTTTCTCTCAGGCTGTAAATTTTTTTTTTAATTTTTTTTTATTTTTGTGTGCGTGTACCGTCAAATCAGATCTGACTGGTACAGGAGGAGATGGCCCCTCCTTCCCCGGCAGAGCATCTGGTGGATTCGAACCGTGCACTTCTGGGATCAGGCTGTAAATTTTAATGGGAGGAAACAGTCCGGGTGGATTCCCACCTCCAGGGATCTGGAGCTTTTCAGCTTCCAGAATCATATACTACAGATTAGATGACCAGAGGACCCCTTTTCAAAACACCAAGTGATTAGATACACGAGTATGGACAACATGCCTCCTTCGCAGCAGTAGGTCTTCTGAGGGGTGGTAAGACTGGGAAGGCCTGCTATAGATCAGTTATGTTTGTGTTGGAGGGAGAAGGGTAACCAGGGGACTGACAAACTCTCCTTAGAACTAGGAAGAGAATAAGAAATTTTCAGAAAGTCTGCAATTCTCTGACTAAATGAAACCTGATGCAGATAAACTCTTGTTCAAGAAGATGGAGATACAAAATGCTTCTCTGCAGGGTTGGTGAGAGAATCCCAGGGAGAAAGTTTCTAAGCACACTAAGCTTACTTAGAGCACTCACTCTAGCATTTCCCTCCACACTTACTCACTTCTCACCATCTCAGAATCCTTTCCCAGTAATTATACTCTCACCCTTATCATTAATCTTTTTGCTATTAACTTTTGTGCTTTACTTCACCAATCTTTAAAAAATGGTACCTCCTACCTTACCTAAACATCAGCTCTCTTTTCCTTTGTACCGTAACTATTTTAAATGTGGAACAGACTTGCAGTTTGAAATTCCTCACTACCAGTCACACCTCTCTGTAGCATTTGACACTGCTGACCAATTCTCTCCTTGTTAATACTGTCTTCTCTAAGTTCCAGTAAAGATTTCTCATTATTTCTTAACTATCTGTCATCTCTCCAAGTTTCTCCTTCCTTATCCATCTCTTAAAGGCCGTTTACCTTGCCTATTCCTTAGATGATCCTGCCCCATCACATGGCTCGTGCTATCACCTCATCCTTTAATCAACTCTTCAGTGTCATCTCCAGGCCAGCTCTCTCCTAGGCAATCTAGATTGATTTATATATCTTTACTTGCCTATGCTATGCAATACCCAAAACTGACCTCTTCTCATCCAAATATATATTTCAGGCATACCATCTTTTATTGATTACCTAAATCAGACAAATGGAGATTCATCCTTGATGTCTTTGTAGTCACTCAATCATGGTCTCCATGATTTTGCATTCCTACCTCTAAATTATCTTTCATCCTTCCTACCTATCTAACAAGGAAGCTCTGGTGGCCTAGTGGTAAGGAGCTATGCTGCCAGTCCTAAAACACACAGTTCAAATCTACCAGCTGCCCAACAGGGGAAAGATGGGCAATCAACTTGTATTTACCAACTCTGAAAACTAGCTATGGGTTGGTTCATACTTGACAGCACATAACAACAATAACAACTGATCTAATATCGAATCTCAGACTGATCTCCCCCCAGCTTCCTGCCAACATCCCCACTGTAAAATGCTCTTATGAAAAAGAGATCAGATCTTGTTAATCACTTCCTTAAAGGGAACTCTGGAGACTTAGTGGTAAGGAGTTGTGCTGTAAATCCAAAGACAGAGAGTTCAAATCCACCAGCTGCCTTGCAGGAGAAAGATGGGCAATCTCCTCTCAAGTGACTTACAGCCTCTGAAAATCTGCTGGAGGGTCGGCTATTAGTTGGTTCCAAATCAATGGCATACAACAACATAAAAACCTTGAATAGTTCTTCCTACTAGCCTTAAAATTCAAACTCCTTAATAAAAGGAACATAGTGATCTGTCTCCAGCCTTCACAGGGAGGTCTGGTGGCCTAATGGTTAAGAAGCTGTGCTGCAATCCTAAGGGTACATGGTTCAAATCCACCAGCTGCTCTGCAGAAGAAAGATGGGCATTTTCCTCTCATGCAATTCACTGTTTTTGAAAACCTGCTGGAGGATCAGCTATGGGTTGGTCCCGACTCGACAGCACAGTCACCATCACCAGCCTACATATCTGGTCTTGTCTTATTCTTCTCAGACCAAATGGTCCTGTTTTTCAGATTCAACTTCCTCTCTACATTGCCAAGACATTTTTTTCCACTGGTTAGTTTCTATCTGCAAAGTCTTTTGGACCTTTCCATTCTCTAGCCAACAATTTACTTTTTCCTTCAATCTACCAGGAAGTGTTCCTTGGCCCTATTAGCCTAGGTAAGGTGATCCACTTGTCCACTTGTCTGACAGCATCAACACAGGATCTTACCCTGATTATGAATGTCTGTCTCTTTAACTGTCATTTCCTAGGCTCTGGACAGGAAAAAGTGTCTTCCTTATCTTAAGGTCCAGAGCCTGGAATACTTCAACAAACATTTGGTACTTTTCTTTCCTTAAGTGAGTTGGCTAGTCATATTTGTGGTGGACTTTCATAGAACTAAACCTAATGAGCACATTCTTTCCAAAATGCCATTTTGCTCTTTAGCTCTGAGGCTACCATGTTAATTTGAGATCAGATTTAGTTCAGGAAAACAGAACACATACTAACCTGTGCAGTGACTGGTGGCCCAGCAAACAGGACCTTGTACGCAGAGGCAGCAACAGACAAAGCCCCCTTCACTAGTCCTCCAGCAATGCTGCTCCCTTGGTGATGCCTGTGCAGGAAAACCAAATGATCTCCCTAAACAAACAAACAAACAATCACCTCCCTACTAGGTAATCTGGCTCTAAGTAAATCCTTAAAAGAAAGAGGTCTCCTTAAGAGAAAAAATCAGGTGTAGACAGAAATGATTGGATACTTTATCAGTTTTATAGCTTCAAATCCTAGTTTGATAGAGGGCCAATTCTACTGCTTATGCTATGGGTGTTGCTGTTAAATGCCGCCAAGTCAAGGTACTTTGGAAGCGGATGCCACTCCTGCTTCCAAGCTTGTTTTAATCGGGGAGCTCCGTCAAACACTGTCCACCATGGCACATCAGGGTCACAATGTTCAGCATCACAGCCACCACAAGTTACCTCTGGTACAGCAAAATGACAGAGCAGTGCTATACCATCTAGAAGAACAGAAAAATAGCTTGCCTCTGGAAACCCTATGAACTTGGAGAAACGAAGAAAGTTCATAGGGTTGCTATGAGTCACCTATGTCTTGATGTGACATTTAACAATAACAACACAGAGCTCAGTTGCCCTAATGGACAGAAAGTGATGCTACCAAGCCCAGGGTGGGTGATTTTAATCTGAATCCCTCAGGCCTGTTTTAAATTGTTTTTGGTCAAACATGCTATGGATACTGTAGAAAATATAGTACTCCGAGTAACACGCCAGCTTTCAGTTCTAGCTGAAAAATAACAGAGTCAAGGGCAAACTGAGGACCAGCTGCCTGCCTCTGCCTGATTATCTTGGAGGAACCTCTCCTGGAGGAAATATAATTTTCTGTATTTGGTAGGAAAATCTCATCTTGACACTGTTCTTCAGGTGTAAACAAAACCACTAAAATGCACATTTGGATCTGACATGCCTGCCTTATCTGGCGCCAATGGGAGACTGGGGATTCCTTTCTAGTCTGGAAAGACAGGAATCTAGCATCAGCTTTCCCTGTGCGCTCAATGCTACTCTAGCATTTTAGGAGGAATGAGAATAAGGACTGACTGCGCTTCTTCTCTGCTCTCATGGGCTCTTTTAAGCAGATGCAAACAGTAGCACATCCAACAGCTTCTAAGAAGAGACTGTACAAGATGCAGTTACCTTGAGTGGTCACAGCTCTTCTGTCTGCTGTTTACATGTCCTGATGAGCATCTGTACTCTAAAAGCAAAAGAGCTCTTGGTTAGATGCAGCATCCATAAGTGCTAAGTGTTCCCTAACTCACAGCAAAGCTATTTTCAAGGCAGGAAGGAATTTGATTGCAAAATTGGGGTTCTTTTTTCCTCTTCTTAGGACCTGGGCAATTTTGGAAGAAGTAGTTTTAAGGAAGTGTTCAAAATGTAATGAAAAGTGATAGCTTACTGAATCATAAAAGTAAACTCTATGATAATAGTACACAGATAGGCAAGCTCTGGTGGCTTAGTGGTAAGGAATTACACTGCCAACACAAAGGCCTGTGGATACTCCACCAGCTGCTTCAAAAGAAAGATGAACAATGTCCTCCTGTATAATGTATTGCTTTTGAAATTCACTGGAGGATCAGCTAGAGGTCAGTTCTAACTCCATGGCACACAATTAACAACAAAACAGCAGCAGTTAGGGAGCTCAGGTAGCCTAGAGGGTAAGGAGTTGCACTGCCAAGCCAAAGGCAGGTGGTTCAAATCCACAAGCTGCCTCATGGAAGATGGATAAATTATAGCCTCTGAAAACTTCCTAGAGGGGTCAATTAAGAGTCAGTTCTGACTTGATGGCACATAACAATAACAGTTTATATATAGTTTGTAAGTACTTTTAGGTTTTATTTTTTGAGAGAGTGGAAAGTAACTTTGAAGTTCTGCTCTAAACAATTTCACAGTATTATCATCTCTATTTTGCAGAAGAGTAAACAGTGTTATGTATTTGCTGAGACACTACAAAGGCCACACAGTGAAGAAATACAGAGCTAAAGCTGGAGCCAGGAAACTTCTGGCTCTGAGGCTTATGTACTTCCGGCCACAGCACAGCACCTACTTCTATGATGGCTCATTTAAGAAATATTAAGCAAGAGAATAGACATAAAAGTAGAGAGGAATAGAGAAAGGGTGAAAGGGCAAGTTCCTATAAACTGCCAAGAATCACAAAGACAGTCTGTGTGATACCTGGTTTCCATTAAAAAGCTGAGGAAGAACAAAAAATCTCAAGCTGTTCATTACCTCCTCTGATCTGATCAGGGACTGAAGAAACTTCTGGAATGGTAACTGGTAAATCCACTCCTGAGAAAGCAGGATGCTGTACACAAGGAGGGCTCCTTTCAGAAAGACATAATGTTCAAAGTTGAAACGGTGGAGATACAGTAAACACAGCACAGCAGTGCCAAATTCTCTCTACATATTTCACATTTCTGATTCAGATCACATAACAGAATTTAGGGATCAAGACAGAAGGACTTCATTCTACTTCTTGTCCTCTTTAGCCATAGTTAAGCTAGAAAGATTGGTTTCAGTCTGGCCAATTTGTTTACTAAATAGCACTGATAAAGCTAAATATGAAGCTCACTAGAACAGTCTACACCTAGTTTAAACCATAGTCAGGGTTCCAGTATTTTCCATACAATGATACAAAAACATCCAATAGAGTATTAAGAAGACTAAGTAGAGGTAATGTAGAGATTTTTGTGTGTGTTTAAAAACTAGCTCTAAACAATTAAAATATATCATACTGAGATAATTAAAGATAGCTACAACCAATACTTCTTGAAATTCAGACTCCAGAAATGCTACAAGCACAACTCTCATTATCTAAATTCAGATTTTAGTAAGGGAAATCATTTCTTCCTATGCTGATAAAGAATAACTTTTGCCATCAAGTAGATTCCCCTCACTCTTAATTCCACTTCTGGAATTCAGAAGGGTGTGTAGATGGTACCTGGGTAGTGGAGGTGAAGGCCCCACCACCTCTGGGGTTAGGGGCACTGCTTCCAAAGTCTGTGAGGCCATAAGGATGTCATTGATGGTGTGCCTCTGTGGCTGGTTCTCCCCTCCAGGGAGTGTCTCCCCAGCCTCAGCTGGTTCCTGTCCAGTCTCAATGATAGGCTCGCCTTCAACTCCTCGTTCCAGGCCTGGCTGAGAGAGTGCTGAGCTGTACATGGAGTCCCCCAAGGGGCGGCTGGTATCAAAGCACTCAGGTAGGATGATGATATAATCCTCTGAGGAGGCAGAGGACTGACTCTGAACTTCATCTTTGAAGTCATCTTCCTCCTCAACAAATTCTTCCTCAGCGATGTGGATAATCTCTTCTCTTTCATCACCACGTGGTCCCTCTCCTTCTGATGAGGCAGATTTCACTACAGGGAAAAAAACCAAACAATTTTTTTAAATTTATTTTATTTCATTATTTTTTTTGTGTACCGTCAAATCAGATCTGACTGGTACAGGAGGAGATTGTTCCTCCTTCTCCAGCAGAGCATCTGGTGGATTCAAATTGCGGATCTCTGAGACTGTAGTGCAGCTTCTTGCCACTAGGCTACCAGAGCTCGCCAGAACTAAACAATTTTATAGTAAGCTAAAAGCAACCACTGATATTACCTTTAGTAAAGCTTCTGAGCTATGAGTCAAGAGGAGGGGCTGCTGTTAGGACCATGATGACAGTGAGGTGGAAGCCCATGCACAGAACAGATGGAAACTCCAAAACTCACAAACTAAGTGAGGCAGAAATATCCAGGCTTTAGAGAAATTGTATGAATCTCAAAATGAAAAGGCTCCATCTTTTTCAGTAATGTGATTATTAATGCATTGAGACAGAGTTCAAAACAAACTGACAAATTTGCTAACAATGTTATAAAAGAAAATGCTAGGTGGTAAGTACCACAGGATTACATGTGTACATCTCCTTTAAAAAGTAATGCACGTTATGGGAATGATTGCATGAAACATAGTGTGAAGGAAGGACAGTGTGAAACACAATGTATACAAACTTTGTATGCAAATAATATAATTTTTTTTAAAAAAAGAATGTACAACTAGGAGATATCATCTCACCCCATAAGAATAGCAAAATTTAACAGAACAGCAAACAACAAATGCTGGCGAAGTTGCAGAGAAACTGGAACCATTATTCACTGCTGGTAGGAGTATAAAATGGTACAATCACTATGGAAGGCAGTATGGCGCTTTCTCAAAAAGTTGGAAATAGATACCATTTTGACCTAGCAATTCCACTACTGGGAATATAGCCTAAAGAAACCAGAACTGCCACCCAAGCAGATATATGCTCACCCATGTTTATTGCGGCTTTGTTCACAATAGCAGAGTCGGAAACAACCCAAGTGTCCATCAACAAACAAATGGATAGAGAAGCTGTGGTACATTCACACAATGGAATACTATGCTTCATTGAAAAAAAGGAACTTAAGAATTATTATACAAAATGGGTGACCCTGAAGGCCATTATGCTGAATGAAATATCTCAGTCACAAAAAGACAAATATGGCAAAGGCCACTGTTATAAACCAGGACTGACATGGGGGCTGGGGGGAAAACTAAGAGGGGATAAATAATTTACAAGGCATTGAAATAGATGAAGGAGAGAACTACATAGAAGGAATAAATGATTAGGTGTTACTAGCATGACAAGAGTCCAGAATAAGAGCTGCATAGTAAAGTGGTCTGGGGTGGGGGACTGTATAACAATGAAATTTTTTTTTTTGGAAAGAAAAAGATTTGTTGGGGGCAGGGAGGAAAATGCGCAACAAATGAATGATTAGAGATCTAAGTCTTTTATAAACATTCATTAAAATATCAATAAAATAAAAAAATGTAAATGTGAAAGATTATGTGTTAATTTTACTGCCAAAAAAAATAAGGGTAATGCATGTTCATGATAGAACTCTGGCAAAATATAGATGAGGGAAATATTTAAAAAAACAGCAGCATACCTAAAGAAACCATAACTGCCACTCAAGCAGATATATGCAAACTCAGATTTATTGTGGCTTTATTCGCAATAGCAAAAAACTGGAAACAACACAAGTGCCCATCAAGAAATGAATGGATAGAGAAGCTCTAGTATATCTACACAATGGAATACTATGCAGTATTGAAAAACAAGGAACTCATGAAATATTATACAAAATGGGTGACCCTGGAGGACATTATGTTGAGTGAAATATTTCAGTCACAAAAGGACAAACATTGCATAGGGCTACTGTTGTAAAACGGGACTGACATCAGGGTTGAGGGAAGACAGAAAAGGAGGGGAGGAATGATGTACATTGCATTGAAACAGATGAGGGAGAGAACTGTTTAAAAGGGATATATGAATAGGTATTATCATTACAGAAGTCCATAGTGAAGGCTGCATAGTAATGCACTTGGGGGCAGGGACTGCATAACAATGAGTTTTTCTTTTACTTTTCAAGGAGAAGAGTAAATTGGATGGGTAGGGGTGGGCAGGGAGAAAAGTGCAACAATGAATGACTGGAAACCCTAAGTTTCTGTAAACTTTCATTAAAATTAATAAAAAAAAAAAAGAAAGCAGAAATCTATATTTAGAGTCATAAAAAAACCCCAGCAGCATAGTCCCATCAAAAATTACTACTATGAATATTTTGATTCAAATCCTTTTAGGCTTTTGAAAAAAATATATTTTTATACATCTATATTTGAAAAAGAATTAAAAACAAGTCATATTTAAAGATATAGGGTAAACTTCATTAACGTGAACTTAGTGATTTTCTGTATTATTTTGACGCTCTAGAATTTTTAGATAGTACAGACGTTTCTGATAACTGTTACAGAATTTAATAGGAGGTATAAAGTCGAGGAATTCAGTTTGATACTTCTTCTTCTACTGGTTAGTTCCTGGACTACAGCCCCAGGAGAGAGCTGCTACTGCTGGCGCTCAGTCAGTTTACAGGAAGAGAACACAGGCAGCACAGGCCTTTCCCCTCAGTGGAATGCAGCTGTAATCCTGCCCCTGGAGGAAGTGCATAAACAAGGTATGGGAACTTTTTTTTAATTGCTAAAACGGAAATAAAAATGGTTGGGCAGCTCATGTAGAATATGAGGAAACAGATTTGACCATCATTTTCAACAAAGATCACCTGGAAGAGCACGTCTCACTAACAATGTCTGGCAATCACCGTTAGGGTATTAGGGCGGGCTCCACTCCGTAGCGACACTCACCCTGCAGGGACTTTCCTCGGCAAGGTGGGTTGTGATCAGGGGCAGCATCCAGGGTGAGGGATCGGATCACAGTCTCACATACAAACTGGGTCCCACTTAGGTCATCTTCTGCTTCCTCCACTGAAGCAGTGCTCTCAGCCTTATTCTTCACTGATGCTGAGGAATCTGGAAGAGATGAGGGCCTTGTCAGAACTGGTTTAAAATGTCAAAATGTTTCTGCCATGGTCAGTCATCACCCAAACTTATAATATGGGGCAAGGAATGGCTGTTATCTGAGCTATTGGAAGGAAGCTGACTTAAAAAACATGAGATGCTACAGAAAACTTATTCACATACCAAAATTAGATTAGTAGGGGGTAGGCGTAAAAATAGGTATAGTATGAAAACAGAGAAGGTGAATGCTTTACAGATATTTAACCCCTTACCAGGAAGAGCTTTAAATCCCGCCCCTTCACTTTCTTCCTTTATCTGCCCCAAGCCTGGCTTCTCTATTAAAGGACTGTCATGTGGCAGAGGAGACATGCAAGGAGTCATATCTGGAGAATGAAGACAGGAGAACCATCAACCAAGGAAAAGCATCACATCATCAATAGTCAAGTGTTCAGAAGCAGGAGCTTACAGGCTGTGGCCTCCTGCAGGACTCAAGTAAAAACCCAGGTATGCTTCAAGGACTGTTGTAAAGAGTTTCTGCAGACCGTTAAGGTACATTTGTCCTGGAAGGTCACAGTCAAGACGGGAAACGTCAAAAAGGGACATAAAACCTCCTGAGAAAAACGAGGGTTCCTTTGTGGCAGGGTAGGATTGCACTAAGGCACATCATTCCCTCTGACAGAAAATGGGGTAAAGAAAACTGGACCCAGAGAGGGTAGCTTTATCATCACACGGTGGGGAAATAGAATGTCAACTACCAGAGTCCATGCTGCAGTACTTTTGGGTCTACTAACAAAATAGGCAAAGTGATCCAGTAACATTCTTACCCACAGGGGTGTTGTGGGGCACTCTCTCCAACTCTTGGACAATGTTTATATCCAACAGCTCAAAGGACAACAGGTCCTGGAAGAAGATGGGCAATGTCAGACCACATGTAGTGCATGGTGGACCATGTTCTATCTTGATGGGACTGGCAGAGCTTTGAGCTCTATAGAGTCTACATACAACTCTGTTCAAATTTATGTCTCACCTCAAACAAGTGAAAAGAATAGAGTTAAATGGGAACTAGATGTTCAAATGACCAGAGAGAAGCAAAGAAAGGGAATGCCATAGGTGTGAAAGTGAATCAGAGAGAAGGTGAAAAGCAGAAGCAACTGGAGTTGTGAAGAAGCACAGGAGTGAGGTCACAATTTAAAGAGGAAATATTGGTTTAGAAACGGTCTCCCTAGGCGAGCTTCCTTGCAACAATGCATCTGACTGTATCAAAGTGGGCATGATGGACTTTCTGGGCACCACCTAAGGCTACCACCTTGTCATCAATGTGGTAAAACATTTTCCCCAATGCTTATTGAATTTTCCACCTGGGCAGTCAGAAGGTCCACAGATGGGATATAGAGCTCCCTCTCTCTGGGAACCTTTTTTATTTTCTGAGAAATGCCGCTTCCTGTTCCTTCAGTCTTCTCAGTCACTCCATCAAGCTGCATTTCTTCTTTGGCCAGACAAAAAGCTTCCTAAAGAGACATCATAAGGCAGATTTTAGGGCTCTCAAGAGACTGAAAGACCTCCCTAAAAGAACAAAAATCCCCAACTGTTGCCATCTCTACATTTTTAAATAAACGTTTTGTTTTGATACTACTTTAAACTTACATATTTGAACGTTTCAAAAACAGTAGAGTGTTCATGTATTACTCCAGCTTTCCCGCAAAATAACTTACATTAACCAAGTACAACAGTGAAAAACACAGGCTAACATTGGGTTCATATGCCTTCATATATTATCCATTTTCTACCACAAATATGCATTACCTTTTTTTTTAAAAAAAATTATTTTATATTGGTTTGCATACAAAATCTGTATACATTGTGTTTCACACTTTCCACACATATGCATTACTTTTGTCAAATACGCCTATAGTCCTGCAGCACTCATTATCTAACATTATTTAAAAATATATTTTCATCAGTCAGTGATTAAAGGAACTCTGGCGGTAAGGTGTGTATCAGGCTGCAGTCAAATCCATCAGCTGCTCCTTGGGAGAAATACAAGCAGTCTCCTCCCAAAAAGATTTACAACCTCAGAGCCTGGTGAAGAGTTGCTAGTGAGGGCAATGAGTTTGGTTACTGATTAAGGAGCCTCAGTGTCACAGCAGATTTTGGAAAGGACAGATGTTTGAATACACTAGCCACCCCTTAGGAGAAATATGAGGCAGTCGCTCTCATTAAGATTTACCGCCTTGGAAGCCTGATGGAGGGTTGCCAGACCTTGACAGCAACAGGTTTGGTTTGGGAAGGTTAGTGATTATACTAAAGCAGCTGTTGTGACCGCTGAGTCAGAACTGACCCACAGCTGACCCTCTGGCAGGTTTTTAGAGGTAGTCAATCACATGAAAGACTGCCCATCTTTCTCCTGTGGAACAACTGGTGGATTTGAACTGTGTGCTTTCAGGACTGCAGTGCAGATTCTTACCTCTAGGCCATGAGAGCTTCCTAAATATTGAGGCAATAGTCATTCTGAAAGAATCCCGCTAACAGAGGGAAGTTGTCTAAAAATACACACTGCACACTAAGTAACCACCAGAGCAAGGCTTCAATATTATTTAGAGAACACACACAAAAGGTCATTTCAGGAAAGAACAACGTTAAGAGCAAATCTATCAGTCCACCAGTTTCACAGTCCAAACAGGCAGTCTGTCTTTCCGTTGAGCAGCAAAGAGACAGCCAAGCATCACTACAAAGGTAGAAAAAAGCACTTGGGACTGCCTACCCTCATGTCCTAGACACTCAAATGAAATCTCTGAGGATGAGACCAAAGTTCTGTACCTAAATGTGCTGGGGAGAGAAAAGTCGCTACCTGTTCATGAGTTCTGAAAGAAAGAATAACTAGTCTCACATAAGTTCTTTTCATTTTAGTCACCTCTTACCTAACTATAAGGATCTTAGCCAAGTCATGTCAAAACTCACCTCATCAGCTTTGCAGGAGGTGATCATGTCCTTTTCATTGCTATTAGGACTCTCTGTGGAGGGGAAAGGATCCACTATGATACTGCACCAGACCCGAGGCCCAAACTGCTGGCCTTTATGAGAAAGACGCCAATGGGAAGTGTATGTTCCTTCCAAAGTTGGGGCAATGAACTCCACAGATACAACTCCCACATGGCCAGCTTTCAGGCAAGGAACCAAGACATCCTTCTTTTCTGCAGAAGCCAAAGTCAGGTTTCCCCACATGAACTTGAGCTGAAAAGGATAATGACAAGAGAAATAAGTTTGTCAGATGAGCACTCTACCACTTCAAACCTTACCATTCCTGGGGGGCTTGGGGGGATTTACCTTTGTGTCTGCACTCCATTTTACATTTCCTGTATTTTTCATCCTCCAATGTTTGATAAACTTGGTTCCTGGCTGAAGGTGAGTTCCATCAGGCAAATTCTCATCCACAAAAGCTGCACTGAGGGTTGGCATAACTGGGGCACAAGGCTGCAATGGGAGCCTGAACAGAAATTCACACACTCAGGCCATGTGCTAGTGGGCATGAAAGCCTGTGAATATAAACGACTGTGGCCTCAGAGGCCGAACACTGACTCTTGAGGATGTCACTGTGCATTTGCCTAAAAATATTAATACATTTTTTTAAAAAAGAAAAATGGACAGATTTGCGATTTGCTGAGACTATTCAAAGGATCCAGGAATAGAACTATAAAGTCAATCTCTTAAAACATTTGTTCATTTGCTCCCACTCTAGACTGCCTTGAGTGAAGAAATGTCTTAAAATCCTAATTCTAAATCCTGGCTTTTATCTTCTGCACTAGGGATATTTAGGGCAGTGAAACTATTCTGTTTGATCCTATTGTAGGATATACATGACTTCTAGCCATTTGTCAAAACCCACGGGGCTGCACAATACAAGCAGTGAAGCCCAAGGTAAACTACGAACACTAAAAATAATGTACCAATATTGGTTCATCAACTGCAATAAGTATAGGAAAAAATGTGTGGGATGAGGTCTTGGTGATGGGAAGGCATTACTTTCTACACAATTATCTGTAACCAAGAAACTACTCTGAAATGCAAAGCCCACTAAAGAAGATATTAATTTATTTAGAGCGATACCCAACCACTCATAACACAGCATTGAAGAACAGGAAATTTCAAGTATTTGCATATGAAAAGTTATGAATACATAAGACAGAGGTTTACTGATATTCCAGTCTTAGGGAGCTGAACGAATCTACACTCCCACCAAGGCTCTGGGCTTACTTACATGAGAGTGTTAGACTGTAGCAAGCTCTCAGGTCGGCCCAAAGGAGACTTGGGGCTCTGAAGTCCATGGATAGAATTCCACAAATGAATCTTCCTGTGGAGTTTAAGCTGCTTTTTGAGTTCCTTGACCTCTGCTTTACGCTGTTTCTTCTCAGCTCGCAACCTTTGCTTTTCTGCTTTAAGAAAATTCTTATCAACCTGCTTCTGGAGCCTATGAGAGAATAAATTAGTGTCTTAAATAAAACGAACTTCACAGACAAGGCTTAAGGTCTTTTAAGCCAACTGAAGTCTCCATCAGTATCAGTTCTTAGTTTCTTAATTTCATCCTTTATCATTTCCAGTTCATTAGCTTAGGTAATTATCTTCATTAACTGCACATCAAGTGAAAATGAGCAGGCATTAACAAGACTTTTGTAGTTCTGTAACTTCTCCTTCACTAGAACCAAGAAACAAACTATTTTTTGCTGCACACATTTTCACAATAAAAGGGGCAACGTTTCACCACTACATACATGTATACTTTTTAAAAGGAAAATGAAAGAAACTAAAGAACAAACATCCGTATGTATGCTTTACCTGACTTGTTCCAGGGCGGCAGGAAGACGAGGGCTAGAAAACTTGGATTGTGAGAATGGCTCAGAGCACCCCACGACAGGTCTCCGCAACTTCAGCAGGACATGGTTAGAGTCGTGGGTGTAGGGCCCTGCCTCACAATCTTCACAGATATTGTAGGATGGGCACAGGCTGTGGAGAAAAGGAGGGCACAGTACAGTGGTGAGTATACAAAGAAGGGATATGTAAGACTACTCTTGTGTGCCGTCAAAACGGAACAGACTCAGAGTTGACCCTCCAGTGTGAGGAAACTGCTCATCTTTTTCCTGTGGAGCTGTTGATAAATTCAAATCACATGCATTTGGTTGGCAGTGAAGCTCCTTAACACTAGGCCACCAGAGCTCCAAAATTAGATTGTTGTTGTTGTGTAGTGTCAAGGTGGAAATGACCCACAGCTAAGCCTTCAGTGGGTTTTCAGAGGCAGTAAATCACACAGAAGGAGACTGCCCATCTTTCTCCCACAGAGCAGGTGGTGGATTTGAACCATGTACCTTTGGGTACATAGTGCAATTCTTTACCACTAAGGAATCCAGTGGTGGCTTCCAAAGCTCCCTACTAGGAGACTAGACCTCTATATTTGCTCTATTGCTAGTTAGCTGATAGCATAAGCATGTCATCTAACCATGCTGTATTTCAGTTTCCTTTATTTAAAAAATGAAGATAACAACACTAAATCTGTATCTATTTCAAAGATAAATATATAGGATGAAACAATATATGAAATAATTCAGAACAGACTCTTTGGTGATCTAATTTTGTGTCAAGGAACAGAACTTTGCCTATTAATCCAAATGCATATCTGAATACAACAATCTGAATATTTAACACTCAGAAAGCATGTGAGTAAAGAGTAGTCTGCATTTCTGTGGTGTCAGACCTTTTTAAAAATGGCTTTTTTTATCCATTGCCTTAGCTTCCCTCTGTGGGATCCAGTGCCTCAACTGCAGACACATCTTCAACATCATCAATAACTGTGAGATCAACCTAAAAAAGAGCTAATCCAACCACAGAGAGACTGTGGTGAGGCATAGCCTGACAGAGCCCTGGAGATGGAGTCAAAGGTTCTGCTTGCTGGATGACTAAAGGAAGAGCTGACTTGTGACTGCTAGGAGACAAAGCTTGCTTGATGACTGAGGAAACCAGTTTTCTTGCATTTTTGTTGCCAGGCTGAACCTGGACTTTCACGTGTTGACTGAGAACCTGTATGAACTGAGGGATTGTGTCTTGCTGTTAATATGGCTTAGGACTGCTGTTCATGAAAACTTAGACTTTCACTGTGTGACAGTCTTTGCCTTCCCACCCCACAAAATTATTTCCTTAATAAACTCCAATGTTAGTGCAATTAAGTCTGTGAGTCAATTTGCAAAGAACATCGGACCAAGTGATTACTAGAATCACTAATGAGCGTGGGAAGCCAGGTCTGACCTTTTAGCTATTATTTTGGGGCTGTGGACATTATTGACGGGGAGAGTTCTGCTTTACGAAGGGGAAAAGTCAGACTTGGTTTACCTCACATTACTGCTGCTCCTTTCACAAGTTCTACCCAGCACTACTCTATCTAATGCTCAGAGGCAGAATGTACCAATTTCCCTTACTTCTCCAGAATGCCAACAAGGTTGTTCCTTTGAGGACTACAAATAGTCAACTGAGTTATGCAAGACCCAAGTCACGGTATTTTTAAACACTTTATATGCTTATGAAGGTTGGACAGTGAATATGGAAGACTTTGAATTGTGTTGGTAAAGAGTACTGAGTATATCAGGAACTGTCAATGGTGCAAGCAAGTCTGTCTTGGAAGTACAGCCACTGCACTCCTTAGAGGCAAACACAGTAGAGATTTCATCTCACACTTGGGCCATGTTACCACAGGAGTGGTCAATCCCTGGAGAAGGACCCCATGATTTGGAGCAACCAAAGGGGGTTGCTGTAATGCGACTCTGAGTTCACACTGACTCACAGCTGACCCTCCAGCGGGTTTTCAGAAGCAGTAAATGCCACAGGGGGACTCTGTCCTTCCTTCACCGATGGAGCACCTGGTGAATTTAAACTGTGGGTCTGGAGCACAGTCTCTTACTACTTACTAGGCCACCAGAGTTCCCTAATGGAGAGGAAGAACCTCAAGAAGATGGACTGAGTGCTCCCTTCGGCAGCACATATACTAATATTCAAACGATACTGAGAAGATTAGCATGGACCCAGTGCAAGGATGACATGCAAATTCTCGAAATGTCCCATATTTTTCTTTTAATAAAAGAGTAAATGGATTGACACAGTGACTACAATAATGGACTTAACCATAACAGATTGTGAGGACTGCACGGGATTAGCCAAGGTCCAAATCTGTTGTACAACTGGCAGGCAAGGGGTGCTATGAGTTAGAATCAACTTGACAGCACCTAACAACAACATAAGACAACTAGATCCAGATACGGCTTACCTGCATTGATAGCGCACACCAATAATTTTTCTTTGGCAGCTGCTGCAGTCAATATGCCAGTTGAATGGATTTTCTGGCAAAAACAGTGTTTCCTCTGAACTAGGCATTGAGACTTCTGAGGAACAGGAACCTAAGGTTGAACTTCGGAGTACAAGCTTCTCATGCAATTTCTGTTCAAGCTTCTCAACTGTTTCTTTAACCACTTGTTCTCTGAACTAGACAGAACAGAAAGTATGGAAAAATTCAGTTCCAATATTATTAAACAGACCTGAAACTTCAGTCTCTATTATAATGAAGCACATTATCAATAGCTACGAGCTAGTGAGTGGTCATAACATGGTATAAATGGTCTAATCTTTCCACAGCTAAAGTGGTTCAAAGAAAAGATGAAAAAAATTTGTTGATGGATAAATTTCTAACTTATTTTCCTTTCAACTATAGAGATTGGTTTTTTTTTTTATTTTTAGAAGCAGATTCCTCCTCCTTTTGCTGGGCACATCACTGTAAAAATAAAGTGCTTTCTAGTGGCAAGGAGCTGCAACTACAATCCCAGAGGCAAACGGTTCAAATCCACCAGATGCTCTGCCGGGTAAGGAGGGACAATATCCTCCTGTACCAGTCAGATCTGATCTGACGGTACACGCACACAAAAATAATAAAATAAAATAAAATAAAAAATAAATAAAGTGCTTTCTTGACTGGAACTGCTCCAGATTAAAAATCAGCTCCCACTCTTCATTCACCTATACCAGAGGCAGTAGTCACCAGTTTGGCTCTTGGGTTTTTCCACATTCTACTTGTGTCAAGTGCTGTGAAAGTCCAAGCCAGAGAGAATACTCACTGTCTCCAAGTAACTTGTAAACCAGTCTGGAGGCTTATCTTGAGGTTGGTCTGCATCACATGGAGCAAGTGGAAATCGCTGTAAGAAAACACAACCCAAGATTGCAGGGGTTACTTTTTCTTTCTACTTAAAAGAATTACCCTGAAATGTATTATTTTGAAGATTCTCCTATAAAGTAATACAAACATACAGTTTAAAAAAACAAAAACACAAAACACCACCATATACATGTTATTGTTATGTGCCATTGAGTCGCTTGCAACTCATAGCTACCCTATGTACAACAGCCCTAAACCCTGCTCTATTCTGTGCCAATCGCAGTGCCTCTGACACACCCATGCCAATTACCTCAGTCACTGAATCAATCCACCTCACAGAGGGTCTTCCCCTCCTGCACTATCCCTCCACCATCCCAAGCATGATGTCCCTCTCCATGGACCAGTCCCTCCTTACAACATGTCCAAAGTATGCCAGACGAAGCCCAGAATCCTTGCCTCCAAGGAGCAGCCCGGTTTAACCTTCGCCAGGATGAATCTGTTTTTTTTCTTAGCAGTCCTTGGTATTCTGAATACTCTTCTCCAGCAGTACAGCTCAAAGGCATCAATTCTCCTTCTATCCTCCCTACTCATTGTCCAACCCTCTGATGCACAACAAGTGATTGCAAAGACCATGGCCTGTATCAGACGCACCTTAGTCTCCAGAGAGACACCACTGCTCTTCAGTACTTTGGAGTGGTCCCTAACAGCAGACTTTGACAACGCCCCATCATTATTTGGATTAATAGAGCTGACTTGTGACTGCTAAGAGACAAAGCTTGCTTGATGACTGAGGAAACCAGTTTTCTTGCATTTTTGTTGCCAGGCTGAACCTGGACTTTCACGTGTTGACTGAGAACCTGTATGAACTGAGGGATTGTGTCTTGCTGTTAATATGGCTTAGGACTGCTGTTCATGAAAACTTAAAGACTTTCACTGTGTGACAGTCTTTGCCTTCCCACCCCACAAAATTATTTCCTTAATAAACTCCAATGTTAGTGCAATTAAGTCTGAAATGACATTTTTAATTCTTTACCACTAAGAAATTACTACATTACTACACAACAACAACAATCTAATTTTGGAGCTCTGGTGGCCTAGTGTTAAGGAGCTTCGCTGCCAACCAAATGCATGTGATTTGAATTTATCAATAGCTCCACAGGAAAAAGAAGGAAGGGGCTCAGTGACATTTCTCTTGCTTTAATGGGTCGATGCAAAACAAACACTGAATACTAGCTTCAATTTACCTTAGTGGTAAAGAATTGCACTACGTACCCAAAGGTACATGGTTCAAATCCACCACCTGCTCTGTGGGAAAAAGATGGGCAGTCTCCTTCTGTGTGATTTACTGCCTCTGAAAACCCACTGAAGGCTTAGCTGTGGGTCATTTCCACCTTGACACTACACAAACAACAACAATCTAATTTTGGAGCTCTGGTGGCCTAGTGTTAAGGAGCTTCGCTGCCAACCAAATGCATGTGATTTGAATTTATCAACAGCTCCACAGGAAAAAGAAGGAAGGGGCTCAGTGACATTTCTCTTGCTTTAATGGGTCGATGCAAAGCAAACACTGAATACTAGCTTCAATTTTTGCCTTTTCCCCCCCAATAATAGTGGAGTAAAGTAAACTTTGAAAAAGTGAGTGGTCCCTGTGAATGTTTCAAGTCACACATCCAAAAAATGTCATACATGTCAAGCCAAAAGACAAACAAAAGACAGAAGAAATATATGTTGTTTTTTAAAACTTTTTTAAAAAAATTTTTGTGTGTGTACCATCAAATAGGATCTGACTAGTATAGGAAGAGATTGCCCCTCCTTCTCCAGCAGAACATCTGGTGAATTTGAACCACTGTTACAAGTTTTAATCAGAGAAGGAAAATGATGAGAACCTCAAACTAAAGAAAAAGTAACCTGGGGTTGGCAAAATTGCAGAGGAAGATCCATTCTCATCATACCTGGCCTGCTGGCTCCTCTGTGGGCCTCATGTCTGATCCCAGGATTCTCACTAGTGAGGAATAATGTGCAGGCGGCTTCTTTCCTGCCTTGGCAGCTAGCCGTTTCTCTGCTACAACCGGAGCTGGAGCTTCATCTACAACATAATATCCTTCATGCACTTGCATTTGTAGTTGGTTTCCATGCTTAACTGCCATCTGAGAACAAACAGGATGAGTCAACATCATATGGTGAGTCTCATTTCCCAAACAGAACTCCAAAACCAACTAAACAGAAGAGTGTGTTATCAATTATAACACACCAGAGTTTTGGACTGGAAGCTCATAAAAGATATTCAAACCTTATTTACAAAAGTGGTAATGAATTAAGCACACACACACACCCCCCCCAAACTCAAAAGTGGTAATAAAAAGACAGAGTGATAAATAAAGAACAATAAATGACCTCAAGGAATTAATTAACTCACTGTTGACTTAAGCAGGAAACTTTATGCAACTCTATAGTCTATACCTTTAATTCTCTCATATTTCATGGCAACATGTTCCACAGGGAATACATGAAGCAGGAAATAAGAAACGTTAACGAGAAAATATCACTTCAGAGAGTGCCTATTTTTAGATGCTTGGATAGTGACATCAAGATCAGCAAAGAGATAGCAAAGTATCTAGGGAGAATTTTTACACCAGGAGTTTCCTTTTACTGGATGGTACACTCTGTTCATTAGAATCTTAAAAGTATGTTTTTATATTCACTAGTTCTTCTTCAAGGCCAATGACACTCAGGATTTAGTCAAGAAACATTTGAAAACTATTCGGAAAATGACATGAAATACGTATTACCTTAAGGGCTTCTTCATATTCACCTAGAAGGAGAGAAAAATAAACACTGTGTTATTTTTTCACCAGTCTAAAAATTTTTGCAGATATAGGCAACCTGACTTAGAATCTTTAATAGATGAAAAGCCACCATTTTCTTGCTGACAAACTTTCTTTTCATATCCAACAGAAACAGAAGCTACTGCAGGACAGTTCTCTGCTTTAAATTTTCCTTTCTTTGCTACTGGTACCCTCTAGTTACAGAAAGATCAAACTAGTCCCACACAATGGGCTTATGGAAAGCTCAGGACTCTAGGAATTCATGGATAATGTTAGTAATTGTTTATAAGTTGACATCACATATAAAACAAATGCAAAAAAGAGGACAACTTACGAGTGTAGAACTGGGAGACATGATTTCCAGAGTAATTACATCTCAAATACAAGAGAAGCTCTCATTAAAGCTTTTAACGTTTCTTTTAAAATTCATTTAAAGTCAGCATCCTATATACAAAACACTGTTATTCAGGGAGCTGCTGCACTGCAATCCCGGATGTATGCGGTTCAAATCCACCAGATGCTCTGCTGGAGAAGGAGGGACAATCTCCTCCTGTACCAGTCAGATCCAATTTGATGGTACACACACCAAAAATAATAATAAATAATAAAACAAAACAAACAACCCCCCCCACACTGTTATTCAATAAAAATCTCCTTTGTAACTAATGCCAACCCACTGAGAAGGATATCATGCCTGGTAAAAAAGTGCCAGTGAAGGATTGTAAAACGGTACAATCATTCTGGAAGGCAGTTTGGTGCGTCCTCAAAAAAACTGAACCTAGAAATTCTGTATGACCCAGCTATTTTACTCCTTGGAATACACCCTGAGAAAATGAGAATTGAGGCACAAATGGATACTTGTACACCCATGTTCATAGCTTCATTATTCACCATCACAAGAACATGGAAACAGCCCAGATAGATGTCCAACCACAAACAAACAGATTGAGAAATTATGGTATATTCATACAGTGGAATACTACACAGAAAGCAGGAGCAATGATTTTGTAAATTACTACCTAACTTGGGAGGGACTGGTGAGCATTATGAGTGAATGAACTCAGTCCCACAAGGCCAAAAATTGTATAAAACCATTATTGTATAATGAGTATGAAGATCCATCCAAGGGGTGGGGGCTTGGAAGCAGAAGGATGAGATGTGCAGGGAAAGAGGGGGATTAATCATGGAGTTGAACAATTTGATGGAGGGGTAAGGGAAATTGGAAGAATCTGTTCTATAAAACAATGTATTTGACTTTTGAAAATAAAATAGTATTAAAAAAAGCATCAGTGAAAATGAGGAAAATCATCAGTAGGATGAACTGACAATGTCTGCAACACAACAGTGGGCTTACACACAACAGTGGAGTCACTATGACTTAGAACTAATTGGAAGATACCAAACAGCAACAATCACATTGTAACCAATGCCCACAGTTAAGTGAATACAGTGTTAGTTTACTGCTTATCAAATTCTAATATAAAAAGAACATTGTAACAAATTTTGAGTATAAATGAAAATGTAAAAATTCATGAAAAGACAGGCTTTAAATAAAGCTGAACAGTTTCTCTTAGGTACTTACCTTGAGTGTTGATAGATACCTTTAGTAAAAGGAAAAAAGCAACAGTGGATTATAAACACCTTGATGAACTGATGAAATACTCACCAGTTAAGTATATCTGTTCTTAAAACCAGCTTCACAGAATAGATACAAAACCCTAGGGTAGGGATTTAGCTCTTCCAGTATGATAAGTGAGTTATAAATAATAATTAAAATTTTATTGCTTATCTACATGTCCTTTTATTTCAACCATACGCATTAAGAGACAGCCTAATAAGTGGTTAGGAGTCTGAGTCTGCAGCCAGAGGATATGGATTAAACCCTTACCAAGCTTTTTGTTTTTGGGCCCGTTACTTAAACATTTCTGGGTCTGTTTCCTCATGGGTAAAATAAAGATAATGATACATCCAATAAACACTGTTGTTATTAGCCTGACACACTATAACAACGTAATAAAGGTTTTCATTGTTCTTAAATTGATATTTTAATGAAAGTTTATAGAGAATTTAGATATTCACTCATTGTTGCATACTTTCAACCCTGCCTACCCCCTTCAATTCTCTTTTCTCTTTGAAAAAAGATTCTTTAACTGTTGTTTCATTTTTTAATGAACTAAAACAAAACATGGATTTTTAGCTCCAATAGCATAGTGGGAAGAATTTGTGCTGCAATCCTGAAGGCACATGGCTCGAATCCTCTAGACGCAGTATGGGCAATCTCCTCCTCAGCTATTACTGCCTCTGAAAACCCGTTGGAGGGTCAGCTATGGATTGGTTCTGACTCAATGGTACACAACAAAAACAAAACTAAACTTGGATTATGGTGAACTTAAGAACTCTAAATTTTAAATAATTTTTGAAAGTTTCTTTTACTAATTTTTGTGCATACACCGTCAAATCGGGTCTGGCTGGTACAGGAGATTGCCCCTCCTTCTCCAGCAGAGCATCTGGTGGATTTGTACTGTGCACCTCTGGGATTGCAGTGCAGCTTCTTGCCATTAGGCTACCAGAGTTCCCTAAAACTCCAGTTTTTTGTGGTTTTTTAAAAAATAATTTTAATGAGCATTTACAGAGATTTTGGATTTCCATTCATTCATTGCTGCACTTCTCTCCCCCAAAACTCCAGTTTTAAAAGGTCTAGCTGAGATTTTCCTCTTCAATGTTCTTCCTAGTTTGTCCACTCCACTTCACATGCCAACTTACTTCAAAACATGCAATTATCAAAAGCATTTAAATCACTAAATAAATAAGAAAAATCCCATTCAGGACTATCTGAATTTCACATCAATCAATTTTGAGAAATAAGATTCCTACACTGGACTTTGAACAGCTGGTAATGGAGATCATAACATATTTTATTTACCTCTTCATTTTCCTCATCCAGGTATTTTATCTGAATAGTGTTCAGATCAAATGAAACTTTTACCTGTAAATGAAAAATACATTACATGAACAAGTAGCCAAAAAGTAAACAGTGACAGAAACATAGAAGTCATAAAAAAAAAAAGGACTGGCAAATTTTACGGTGTTAAAAAAAATGTCATACATGTCAAGCCAAAAGACAAACAAAAGACAGAAGAAATATATGGAACCTGTAAGAGACAAGAGGCGAAAGGAGGGTCTGGTGGCCAAGTGGCAAGAAGCTGCAGAGGTGCGCAGTTCAAATCCACCAGATGCTCTGCTGGAGAAAGAGGGACACTCTCTTCCTGTACCAGTCAGATCCGATTTGACGGTACACACACACAAAATAACAAAATAAAAACAAAAACAAACAAAAAGAGACAACGAGCTAATATTTATACAAGAACATCTACAAAACTGTTAGGGATAAGATGAACAATACAGGTAAAAACAGGCAAAAATGTACAGGAAATTCATAGAAGAAATCAGCATACTTAAGAAATACATGAAAAACTTGTTAACCTCATTGGTAGTCACAATAGTAGAAAATAAAGCACTGAGATTCTATTTTATCAGAATGGCAAAAACTGTTTCAAGTCACACATCCAGCACTACCAAGGACTGAGGGCACTGTCATTTTATGAGTTTTAAAAATTGTTCTGCAAACCAAACTACTAATAGCTATTAAAACTTAAAATCACATACCCTCTGACCCATTAGCTCATGTTAGGTTCTATGTACAGAGGAACATCTCTTGTAATTGATTTTGTCATGGCAAATAGAAAAAGAAATAATTCAACAATTTTCCCACATAAGATGGTTGAACTTTTCCTTTAAAGAAGATTCCCCTGCTATCCAAACCAGTGTATTCCCATGAAATCTTTCCGAAGCTGAAGTGATATGAAGCAAAGAAGTAATTACTATTCATTTATGTGGAAAAATTGAGTATTCTTAAATTCATAAAATAAACTAAAATAGTGCCAAACAGCAATTAAAATGTACAAAAACACTAACATACTGTGTTCAGAGACACAGTCCAAAGCTATGGAGGCTTGAAGCTTCCTAGGGAAGGGGCTCAGTGACATTTCTCTTGCTTTAATGGGTCGATGCAAAACAAACACTGAATACTAGTTTCAATTTTTGCCTTTTCCCCCCCAATAATAGTGGAGTAAAGTAAACTTTGAAAAAGTGAGTGGTCCCTGTGAATGTTTGAATTGTTTCCCTTTTTATGATGGAGATCTATTGCACTTTTAACATTTAAAATTTACAAGAAAGTGGGAGTGGGGAAGCAAGTAATCGGTTATTATTTTTTCCAATCTTTAAAGTTTTATTTTACCACTTTCCTATTGTTTTTTATTACAGAAAAACACTTGAGTCTTTCTTTCTCACAGGTTTCCACCTTACACAGGTCTGGCTTTCACAGATTCTACGGTACTAAGGAAAACAAGCTGTGCTTGATTTTCAGATCACTTGGCAAACATGATCCAACTTCCTCTAGGACAGCCATCTGTCTAGGACAGTACAGATGCCTGCTGGATGGCAGAGGACTAGACTAACTCATCATCTATGAAGGTCTCTATGATTTCTTTTCCTTTTCTGTTAACACCATCCATAACCATCACTGTACATCACCAGGTAAAAGTAAGCTTTTACCAAATAGTTTTGTTAGATAAACAGTTTATAGGAAGTAAAACATTCACCATTGCAAATCAAAGAGAAACAGAAGAGTACAAAGGGCAAATCGAGAGCAGGAAAAGTACAACAAAGGCACTTACAAAGTAAAGCTATACCATCAGTGGCTCGCAAACAATAGTAACAAAGCTGCTCTCAGGCAAGAGGACAGACCCCTAAAGGCTAGTTGGTGGGGTGTCCCCTACAGACCCATTCCTCAGACTGCTCGACAATTACCAGGATTTTGAAATTCTCTTAACAATGTTACCTTTTTTCCCTAAATTCTTCAAGAGGAATTTATTTATTCATTTTATGGAGCACATCAATATGAATACTGAGCCACTAAGAAAAGAATTTTCCAAAAGACCTAGGCATAGTAAATATAACAACTGTTAAAGTGATGAAACAGTATTGCTAAAAATAATAGCTTTGGAAAAAAATGAGCTGTGTTATGGAGGAAAAAAACAAAGAAATACTCACCATCGCCTCTACATCTGCCCAAGTAGTATTTTCTGGGTCAGAAACAAGAAAGCTTTGGGTTTCATTTTTAAAAGTCACATTTAGAGTGACCTGTGGTTCCATGTTGTGGAGCTAGAGTTGAGCAGGTGGATGAGACCAAAAACACATTAGAAAGCATTCTACAAGTATTTCATAAATATCATCACTGTAGAAATACTTCTGAGCAATAACATCATTGTAGAAATACCTTAAGACTAGGAGGGGGGAGGGGATAGTAGTGAACAACAAGATAGGCAATCTCTCACTCTTATGAAACTTAAAATTTAATGGGTAGTTTATAATAAATCTCACTAGTAGAAACTACTCTTTCTAAAAACACTCTTGTTTGCTGTGTGCTGTTGAGTCTGGACCACTTCAGAGCTGACTATCCAAGGGGTTTTCAGATGCAGTAAATAAACAAACTGTATAAAGATGCCAGGCCCATACTTCTCCTTCCAAGCAGCTGGTGGATTGAACTGTGTGCTTTTGTGATTGCAGCGTGGCTTCTCACCACTAAGCCACTAGAACTCTTTTCTTCCTAAGAAATATACTGATGATAAACCTATGTCATAAAGGCTTGTACTTAGGGCTCACTTCAGCAGCACATATGCTAAAATTGGAATGATACAAAGATTAGTATGGATTAATTCATGAAGCGGTCTATATTTTTTAAATGAATTTATGATTTATGATTAGGCATTATACCTACAACACCCCAGAATAAGATATATATCATTGCTAAGAGGATGAGGGGAACCGGGCTGTGCAACAATGAATGAATGCTAAAAAACAAAACAAAACAAAACCACAACCAAAACTGACGGAGGGATGAGGGAGTAAAATGTGCAACAATGAATGAATGAAAATCTATGCTGAAAATGTTTGTTAAAAAAACAACTAAAATTTTATTAAAAAAATGACTTGTACTGGAACACCCATGTTTATCATGGCTTTGTTCACAATAGCAAAGAATTGGAAACAACCAAAGTGCCAATCAACAAACGAATGGATAGAGAAGCTTTGGTATATTCACACAATGGAATACTACGCTGCATTGAAAAACAAGGAACTCTTGAAATATTACACAAAATGGGTGACCTTGGAGGGCATTATGCAGAGTGAAATATCTCAGTCACAAAAGGGCAAATACTGCATAGTGCCACTGTTGTAAAATGGGACTGACATCAGGGTTGGGGGAGACTGAGAAAGATGGGATACATATTCTGCACTGAAACAGATGAGGGAGAGAACTGTTTAAAAGAGATATATGATTAGGTATTATTGTCATGATAGGAGTACAGAATGAAGGCTACATAGTGGAGTGGACTTGGGGGGAGGGATTGTATAATAATGAAAGAATTTTTCTTTTACTTTTCAAAAAGAAGAGCGAACTGGGGAGGAGGGGTGGGCAGGGAGAAAAGTGCAACATTTTCATGAATGGAAATCCAAAGTCTCTGTAAACTTTCATTAAAATTAATAATAATTTTTTTTAAAGATTTGAAAAAAAAAGACTTGTACTTAAACAAGTTATAAAACGTAAAGTATTTAATTCTTTACATAAGAAATCAAAAAAAGAAAGAAATGCCTGCTGAGAGTATTTACACTCAAAGAAATCACTTAGAATTGTAAAATCTTCTGGATTTTAAAGGCATTTTACAACAAATTATAAATAAGCAAATGTCAAAGTAAACAAAACAAAACAGATAAATCTCTACCCTCAGGGAACATATCATAAGACTTGCAAGTCTTAAAAAAAAAATAAGAAGAAAAAAAGCAGACTCTCCATGGAAGGTTCAACAAGTTAGAAGCCAAAGCAGTAGCCAAGAAACTACATAGGAGTAACATTCAACTTCCTCCTTCATTAAAGCCTATAGTATGTGCTGGTTTTGTAGTCAGTCGATTCTTTTTATGGGAAAATTGTGGTGGAGAGCAATGAGCACCTAGCTACAACAATCAAGTCCAAGGCCACCCTCATTTCATCTACAACTCCTCCACACTCTCCCTCATTAACACTAGTAGTAGAATGATTATGGTCAGCCAATGTTTTAAACAAGTGATAATGATCTACTTAAAATAGTAATTTTTTAAAAGAAATTAATTTATTATAAGAAATCCCAAAACTATACAAAGGAAAACAGAATAACATCATGAATCTTTATGGACCCCATTACTCATCTTCTATAGTTTATTCAGTGTCAATCAATGGTTAATATCCTTTTCCAACTGGATTAGTGTGGACATTCTGATAGATATCCATCATTGCATTCATGAACAACCACAACACTAAAACTAAAATCATGCTTAAAAAGTTAACAAAGGACTGCAATCCCAGAGGTACGTGGTTCAAATCCACCAGATGCTCTTCTGGAGAAGGAAGGGCAATCTCCTCCTGTACCAGAGTCAGATTTGATTTGATGGTGTACACACACACACACACACACACACACACACACACAAATAAAATTTTAAAAAAAGTTAAAAGTTAACAGATTTCTTAATATATATCAAATTATCTATTCTAGTCAGTTGTTTGCTGGAGTTTTTTCTGGTGAGAAAAATTTGTATTTAGAATTGGCCAGCTGGACTCAGTTTGGATAACCTCAATTTTGTTGGCAATAAACAAAGCATCATACTCAGGAGCAAGTTGAAGGTGTTGACCTTGGCCATATCAATGTCACAGAGCTTCTTCACACCTTGATTTTTTTTTGTTTTGTTTTGTCCTTGATATTCACAATGAACACAAATGTGTTGTTCTTCTATCTTCATCAGTGGTCAGAGAAAACTTGATGATGGCATAGTGGTCAAGCTTGTTTCTCCTGGGGGTGCTCTTCTGGGGTTATTTGGGCATCTTAGGCCAACAGTCCATGGGAGAGGTGTAGATTTTTTCTTTGTGGCTTTCCCCCCCCCTTGTGCATGTCCTTCAGGACTGCCTTCTTGCCCTTGAACATCTTTGCTTAGGGAGTTTTGGGAGGGGCAGGGGCTTCCTTCTTCACTTTGGGATAATCTTTGTAGAAAGGGTTGTTTGTTTTCTGATTAAGGAATTTAGTATTGGTAAACTTTTTGTATTTATGCTTTTATGAGAAACAGCATGTTGTTGTTGTTATGTGCCATTGAGTCGCTTGACTCATAGCGACCCTATGTACAACAGCCCTAAACTCTGCTCTGTCCTGTGCCAATCACACCATCTCGACACACCCATCCTGATTACCCCCCCAGTCACTGAACCAATCTGAGAAATAGCATACGTTGTTTAAATTTCAAGTTGTAATGATAAAAGTCAGCTCTTCAGTATATCAGGCAAGAGATATTTATTGAGTTTCTAAGAAGAGCAAGATTCTGTTCCAGGCACAGAAGATAAAGATGAAGTCTTGAGAGTTTCTACTATTATGGGGGAACAAAGGGATCAGAAGACTTTCGTTTCAGACAAGGCTCAAGTACATTCCAGCTATAAAGCCTTGAGCAAATCTTTTGACCTCTGTGGACATCAGTTCCTTTAAGAAGGAACTTCACTGTAAAAGAAGTCTAATGTTGCTGCCTTGCCTACTTCATAATATTGTAAAAAAAAAATCAAACCAACCAAATCAATCAAGGTATGTGTATATATGCAAGTTCTTGAAAATATTATCCAAACATAAAATTATAATAAACCAGTCTCTAAAATCTAAAATAATCCTGTTTTCCACAACTATCACCCACTACCCTATAAGGTAATACAAGCAAGGTCAAGAAAAATGACCTTGAACTCTAAGAATCAGGGATTTTAAAAATCCAAAACTCCCCCAAACTTTTTTCTCCCAATTTTTTTGTGTGTGTTCACTTAGAGCCATGTTCACCTCTAAAATAATCTCTGTCTTGAGCAACAATCCTTACAAGTGCAATTCTTAGGGTCTTTAAAAACTTGGAATGTTCATTCATCTCAGGAGTTTTGGGGGAAAAAAATAGGGAATGGAAGCTACATGCCAAAAGAGGATGATTCTGAGGTACAATCCTACTTTCCAACTTCTAAGAAACATAGTGACACATTGTTTTTTTAATATACTGGTTTACATACAAAAGTCATATACATCTTATTTGTATATACATTGTTTCATGCATTCCTCCATTCACATTGTGTTTCACGTTATCATTCCCAAAAGTTCCATACTTTTGAGAGTTTAACAGGAAATAAAATCTTCTCTTCGCAAATTACAAAACTGGAAATTAGTTTAGATATTTTGGAGCTCATCCAGTCAGTCCGTTGATGGGGAGAAAACAGGAAGTGGGAGATTGTAGTTTATCTAGACCACAGTGAAATCTTTTTAAAGAGTTGTCTGTTTGACTTTGATGTGAAAATTCTTTCGGCAAAAAGTATTAATTACGGAATACCATAGCACTAGTTAGCCTCATCTGTCCCTTAAGGTTTAAAAGTCACCGCAGCCAGGCAGCTGGGGCCTAGGCCTTCCGATTTCGTAACTGGGATTACTGTAAATTCAGGCACTGACTCACCTTTGTTTGGCAAAGTCATTTTTTTTCTCTCCATGTGAGTTTTTTCAGCCCCAATAATCCCTTTAATAAAGCCGAGAAGCCTATAACTGAGAATCTAAACTTTGACAACCTGGTCTGTCTCCGCCACAGACCTGTAGAAGCTATCCGTGTGACTTGAAAGCTGAGTGTCTTGACAAAAAGAAAAACTGGTGCCTTTCCAATACAGAAGGTCCCTGACCAAGATCACTTTATGAGCTTCTCAAAAAGGGTAAGTGGGATCCATGAGAAGTGCCACTTAAATTTCTTTGCAGACTTCATCCTAGTCTTACAGTAACCATTTCCTAGTACTCTATGCCCCCCAAGATACTGTCACCACTCTCGGAAGACTTCGCATTTTCTTTGCCCAGCCCTTTTTGTGCTGGGAAGTTTCAGCCTTCCATCAACCGAAACGGGCCTTGCCGAGCTAGGACACTTCATCAGTCCGGCGGCATCAGGCCCCTTGGCCCCTCAGAATACAAACAGCTCTCTCAAGTCTCTGAAAAGATGTGCTGCCCACACAAAATTGTGCCTCTCCTCCTCTAATTCCGCCCTTGGACCGCTGTAAGCCTTCTAAGTGCTATAAGACCCCGCAGTTAAATAACCATGGTTGTTACCTTACCAGCGTCCCGCCCCCGGGGGGCGCCTGCCCGAGGCCAGTGCACAGATCGCTAGCAGCCCGCTCGGTTGCTACCCCAGCGGGGTAAATCTAACATGGCGGAGAGACGTTTGCCTAGGCCTTTGTTTCTCTGAGTTTCCGACAAAGTGATTGGTTTACACCACTTGTCTCTCAAAACTTTCATTCCATTGATTGGTTAAGGTTGCTCCGGCGGAGGCGGGGCAGGAGCAGCCTAATCACACAACAATAACAAACACTGGAAGAAAGGGGAGGAACTAAGAGTGCGCAGACGTGGGCCGGAGAGGAGTTCCACTTCCCGGGCAAATTCGGCACCCCTCCTCCTTTCCGTGTCCCCTTAGGCTACTGACCTTAGAGGAGTACTAGTGTGACACTTGCAGGACTGGGTGGGAATTGTCTTGCCAGGACTGGTGGGTTCTTTAGTTTATATTCTGCTGTCAAGATGTGAAAACCAGTAACATCCCGATCCGTAGGTGTACAGGTACGTTACTGAGTTGGAGGCCTCCAATTTAGCATCTGGGAGACTCATGCCTGCTTCCTGTATGTGAAGCAGTTCTCCATTAAGACTACGGTTTCTAAGGATCACTATGGCAAATTTCCTTCCGCAATGCATGGAAATCGTAGGGCTGTTTCCCTCCCACAACGCTTCTATTTATCTAAACTGGAGACTTCCATTGCTGCGGAAAGGGCAGAGGAAAGGGCCCTTTCCTTGCGACTGTTTTGGACACTAACTTGCACTCATCGTACGACCTTGCGTGGCAATTCCTACTAGTAGACCAATTACTGTGACGTAAGAAACCACACCTAGAAGCCTGGAGCCGAGGGGGCAGGCCCCTAATCGAAAACACCGGTGTAATTCTTTCTTTTCCGGCTCTTTCTAACTACATCACGGAGGGAAAGAATGGATGACCAATCGGAGCCCAGAAAAGCTCCGCGCTTTCTGCCCCGCCCTTCCGTTGACGTAAATATTTCCTGCAGTCTGAGAGGTTCGCTCTTCCTAGACGCGGCCCGTTTCCGTGGCAACAGGAAAGCGCGGGAATTACAGAGAAATTAAAACTGCGGCTGCTTAGCTGATTTCCCGGATGCTTTCTAAGCGGGACACAGCTTCGGGGACTGCTTGGAAAACTAAGCCCTCTGGGCCTGGGAAACTCAGACGCTTTGCTCTGGATAAGGGTAAGAGAAACCCACGGTAGGAAGAAGGGCCCAAAGGAGCATTCGAAAACGAGTCAGAAACAGATTATGGGGAGAGAACGAAAGGGAGGAGGAGGCCTCTTCTCGAGAGACCTGGTGGAGAGCAAAATGGATGTTTTTCTGGTACAGGGGTGAAAGCTGAGGAGGCTTAGACCTTGGGAAAACTCCAGTGATGTGAGCAAGGCCGGGTCTCAGGGAAACATCGAGAAGTAAGAGGGTTTGGTGTGTCCCAGGGGCATCATGGGAGGGACTGGAATGGGTCTGGGGGTGGGGTGGGGAATATGTACTTGGAGGAGGAAGTGGGACTGCAGTGTGTCTGAGAAAGGTACGTTGAGGAAAAAGGGAGACAAGATGGGAGAAAGAGACTCAAAGAAAAAGTAGATGTTAGCTTCTAGTTGCTCTGCTCAGGATCAAAAAGGAAGGTTCTGAAATAGATTGGGAGAGAAAACACAACATAAATTCACCAAAAGACCAGATTTACTGGTCTAATAGTGACCAGTGCAACCCCCGGACTGTGGCCCTTAGATACTTTTCAAACCCGGATCTGAACTAGTTCCCGGGATCAGCCAAATGATGAACAAGCCTATAAAGTGAACAGTAACACCTGGGACTAGTTTCTGAGAAGCAGTAACATGCTTCTCAGAAAAATCAACCATAAGAGAGCAAAACGATAACATTAATAAACAAAACAAAGTTCAGATGGCAGGAAAGAGGGGTGAATGATAATGGGGAACCTAGAGATGAAGGGCGGAAGGAAGAGTGCTATTACATTGAGGACATTGCAAGTAATGTCACAAAATGAAGCGTATATAATAATTTTGAATGGATGATTAATTTGCTCTGTAAACTTTTACCCAAACCACAAAAGAAATGTTTTGGTGTTGGGGTGTGTGTGTGTGTGTGTGTGTGTGTGTGTGTGTGTGTGTTGTGAGGTTTTTTTTAAGGACTGGATTTAGATTAAGGACAGGAGGCTAAAGAGAAAGAGGGTCATGGATGGATGTGACAGGTTCTCTCAGCAGAAATATGCCTGAGGAGGAGGGTGCCCAGAGATGTGCCTGAGAGGATTCTGAGTTTAGAATGGAAAGTTTTGTTGGTTTTGATATTGTTGCTCTTGGTTTTATTTTTAAATGTAGAAAAGAGGATAATGAGAAAAAATTGAAGCCATAAACCATTTACCCAGGCAGACCCAGGAAGGTCATTATTGCTTTTTCTTTATTGAAGAAAGGAAACAATCACTTTCCTGAGAGAAGGATCAAAAAAGGAGGAGATTGGAGAAAATAGAAAATCTGAACTACCAAAATAACAATTTTTAGGATTTTTTTAAAGAAAAGACTTTTCTTTGTCATTAGCCATACTGTTGGCAAAATTCTAAAGCACTCCAGTCGTAAGTTCCTCTTATTTGAATATGACATGTTTTTTATGTGAATATTTGAATTTATTTTTTATATCTGTTATATGTGTTAAAGATCAATCGAACAAAAATGGATTTATCTATGGCTCACATTGAAGAAGTACAAAATGTCCTTAACGCTATGCAGAAAATCTTAGAGTGTCCTATCTGGTAAGTCAAAGAGTTTATTTTTTTAAGGTTCTACGTTATAAAATTATCTCCTATGCATATGAGTAAAGTGATCTTACATCACAGGGAGAAAAAGTTATTAAAAAAACTAGTTATTAAAGTTGTTGCTTTTCTTGACCAGTAAGCTCTGTAAATAGAGAACGTTGCTCTTTTCTCTCCTTTTTTTCTTGTCCCTTGCTTTTCTACAAACTGCGACCCGCTACCCCATGCACATTGCTTTTTTTCTTTCCCAATCCATGGTTGTGTGTTGGATTGGAAATTTGGTTTGGATTAAGTGATGATTAGACTTTTAGTCTGAAAACTAACGTGACCACTTGGCATGGACATAGTTAATAAGGGAAAAAGGAAATAATGAATGCTTGGTGTCTGTGAGAGGAGAAGTATTGAAACTAGCCATGTACATATAAATAAGTACACAGCAAGTATCAGAGCCATTAATAAGTCTTTCTGACAGAGTGAACCTTTGTTTTTCTTCATTTGTAAAATTAAAAGAGTATTTAGAAAATTTGCTTTATAAAACCTGAGATAATGTGCATGCCATGAAAGATATATTAAATGTAGGTGTTGATGAGTTTTGACAAATTTGTAACCCAAATACCCATCAAAGTGTGTCATCTGGGATGATCTCTATCATCACCCCCAAAAGTTTTTCTTGTGATTTCTCAGGAGTTCTGAACCTTCAAACTTTACAGGCCCTTAGAAGCCTATGGATGACATTTATATCTATGTAATTAGTTACTTGCTTAATGTTAATTATCATTTTAAAAGCATTGCTCTTAGAAGGGGGTCCATGAGCTTCACCATAACTCAGAGGGGAATCCATGGCACAAAAAAAGATAAGAGAACCCCAAGTAGTCACTAGATATCTTCATAGTTTCTCTTAAATCTACAAAATAAGTTAAAAATCTTCCTTCAGAATATCTTGGTGGAAAGCCAGAAAAGAAAATTAGAATAATTATTGCCTGGTATCTTTCCTGTTTATTCTCATTACTCTGGTCATTTGGGCATCTTAATTGTTCTTCCCACAATTTACATACTCTCCTGCCTCTGAACCTTTACATTTACTCTTCCCTCTGCCAGGAATTCTCTTCCTCTGATATCTACCAATTTATTTGCTTTTTATTTATTTATTTGCAAATCTCGACTGACATACCCATTTTTCAGAGACCTTTTCAGACAAAATTGTAATACTCCTAATCTTGACATACTACTTAACCTCCTTTTCTGCTTATTTTTTCTTCATAGTACTTATTACTATCTGATATATAATTTGTCTTTTTCTCCCCACTTCCACCAAAGTCTCTTGTTGTAGGTGCCATCAAGAAGAAAGAGACTCCTAGTGTAACCTTATGAACGACAGATCTGAATCTGTGCTATCCTGTTCCATCCTTATCTCTAATATACTTGTTGCAATCACTATGTTAGTCTATCTTATTGAGTGTCTCTGTTTTGCTGACCATCCATTGCATTTATGCCTCTGAAAGCTGGACAATGATTAATGATGACAGAAGAATTGATGCCTTTGAGTTGTGGTGCTGGAGAAGCATATTCAACATACCATGGACAGCCAAGAGAACAAACAATTTTTGTCCTGGAGACCGTGAAACAAGGTTGCTTCTTGGAGGCAAGGAAAGGTTTTGAAAGCTCCCAAATTAAGACAGACTAGGAAGCAGGATTGGCCATCCACTTCTGAAATAAACAGGCCTTTGAAAACCCTCTGGGCAGTAGAGGAACACAGGTAGCTTTAATATTAAATTTAGAATCTAGCTTGGAAGTCACTAAAAATGAGGAGAAACAGCTGCAGACATCCATTAATAATTGGAACATGGCATTTATGATGTATGAATCTAGGAAAGCTGGAAGTTGTCAAAAATAAAATGGAACACTTAAAGATTGACATTCTTAGCATTATTGAGCTGATACAGACAAGCATTGACTTCTTTGAATCAAATATATGATTATGCTGAGAATAAAAAAATTGAGAAAGAGTGGTGTTGCATTCATAGTTAAAAAGATCATTTCGCTTGTTCTTCTCTGAGAAAACACCAAATGGCAGGTGACGCTGGTGCAGCGGAAGGCCCTGGGGGCCCTGGGATGGGAGCCCACGGCGGTTTCCGCAGAGGCTTTGGTAGCGGTCTGCGGGGTCGGGGCCGCGGCCGTGGACGGGGGCCGCGGAGCTCGAGGAGGCAAAGCCAAGGACAAGGAGTGGCTCCCCGTCACCAAACTGGGCCGCCTGGTGAAAGATATGAAGGTAAAATCATTGGAGGAGATTTATCTCTTCTCCCTGCCCATCAAGGAGTCTGAGATCATCGACTTCTTCCTGGGCATGTCCCTCAAGGATGAAGTGTTGAAAATCATGCCAGTGCAGAAGCAGACACGTGTTGACCAGCGGACCAGGGTCAAGGCCTTTGTCGCCATCGGAGACTATAATGGCCATGTTGGCTTGGGCGTCAAGTGCTCCAAGGATGTGGCTACTGCTATCCGTGGGGCCATCATCCTAGCCAAGCTCTCCATTGTCCCTGTGCGGCGTGGCTACTGGGGGAACAAGATTGGCAAGCCTCACACCGTTCCCTGCAAGGTGACTGGGCGCTGTGGCTCTGTGTTGGTGCGTCTGATCCCTGCACCCCGAGGCTCTGGAATCGTCTCGGCCCCTGTGCCTAAGAAGCTGTTGATGATGGCTGGAATTGATGACTGTTACACCTCAGCCAGGTGCTGCACAGCTACCCTGGGCAACTTTGCTAAGGCCACCTTTGATGCCATCTCAAAGACCTACAGCTATCTGACCCCAGATCTCTGGAAAGAGACGGTGTTCACTGAGTCTCCCTACCAGGAATTCACAGGTCATCTTGTAAAGACTCACACCAGAGTCTCCGTGCAGAGGACTCAGGCTCCAGCTGTGGCTACCACCTAGTGGATTTTCTATAACAAAGTGAATTAAGTTCTTAAAAAAAAAAAGATCATTTCAGGATTAATCCTGAAGTACAATGCTGTGATAGGATACCATCCATACATAATCACTACAACTCTTACTCGAATACACACACCAACAGTTAAAACTAAAGAGAAGGAAATTGATAATTTCTACCAACTATTGCAGTCTAATATTGACCAAATATTCAATCAAGATGTATTAATAATAATTATTTTGCTCATTCTGTTATTTTTGTATCTTCAGGACTTAGAACTATACCTGGAACCTAGTTGACAATCAACATTTGTTGACTGAATTAAATAGTAGACTAAGTAGTTCTTTGATAGAGCAGTGTTTGTTTTTAATATATAGTCGTGGTTAGTGATAGGTAGCAAAGATGTCTACAGACTTAAGGTGAGCTAAATCCAGGCCATGGTGTTCTCAGTTGCTTGCTATGCAGCTGAGAGCTGGACAGTGACCAAGAACAACAGAAGAAAAACTAGTGTCTTTGAGTTGTGGTGCTGGAGAAAAGTGTTGAACATGAACTGCCAAGAGGAGAAACAGGTATGTCTTGGAGATGGTGCAGCATTAGAGATCTTTGCACACAGGAGTGATGAGACTTCACCTCACATGCTTTGGGCATATTGGTAGGAGGTGCTGTTCCTTGGAGAAGGATATGATGCTGGCAAGGAAGGAGGGTCAACGAAGGAGAGGAAGACCTTGAACCAGGTGGATTGACATCATGACTGCTGTAATAGACTCTTGTGTGTCAGGAAGTATAAGGATGGCTCGGGATAGAACAGGGTTCAGATCTTTTATTCTTAGGGTCGCTATGAGTCATGCTTGACTTGACGGCACCTAACAACAACAACAACAACAACAACAGTAAGAAGACTTGCCTTGGACATTCATATCCAATTGACTATAGTAACTAAAAAAAAAATAGGAACATTGAGGGGCAATGAGTTTATATTAATGTAAGAAAAACAATTCAAGAAAGGAGAATGAAAATGGTTACACAATTGGAAAAATTTAATCAATGTCACTAAATTGTACATGCAGAAACTGTTGAGTTGGAGTATATTTTACTGTGTGTATAGTGTAACAAAGGACCTTTGGTGGCTTGATGCTGTGTACTGTTGGAGTTGTAACTGCAGTTAATCTCATAGTAGGAGATTGCGCATCCTTCTGTGGGGCAGCTGGTGACCTTGAATTGCATGCCTTCCGGATTATAGCGCAGCTTCTTGCCACTAGGCCGCCAGAGCTCCATAAGGAATTGTGCTGCCAACCTAAAGGCATTCAGTTTGAATCGACCATCTGCTCGGAGGGATAAAGATGGGCAGTGTCTTCCTAGATTGCCACTGAAAACCTGCTCTACGATCAGCTATGAGTTGGTTCCGACTTAATGCTATAATAACAATTGTCTAATAACAAATAAGATTTAAGAAAAATAAGATTATAAGAAGGAAAAATTGAAAACTGTATCTACTTTCAAAAAAGGGAGATGAGTTAGGGTGTATTTTCCTTTGTGTTTCATGAAAGTTGTTTTCTATATATGAAATCAAGTAAATAAAGTTAAGGAAAATGCAAGTAATGTTTTGTGTTTTCAGAGTGACAGAAGATTTACAGGTAACCTTCCGCTCTTTTGCCCTTCAACATTTCAATTAAACAAAAATGGAAAGACTAAACAAGATTTACAGCCAAATTTATGAAACATCAGAGCCACAGAAGTAGGAAATGACAATTTAGGAGAAAATATGCTTTTGAAAAAGCACAGCCTACTGCAGAATCCTCATGATAATTATCAAGAGTGATCAAAAAATCTTCCATAGGGTGGCATTTGAGTCCATTTATTTTACATTTTCATAGGACTGAGCCATAAAAATGTAATATTCTTTCACATTCTGGCAAATTAAATCATCAATTAAAAAACTCATACATTGAAATGAAAGGCATAAGAATGAAAGTTAATGTAAAATTTTCATTTTCAGTCAACTATTGTGTATTTGCCAGCTTATTGATTTTAATCATTTTTCCATTAGAAATATATTTAGGCTTTTAAACCTAAGCT